GTTCTTTCACATACAGTGGTGCCCCGCAAGACGAACGCCTCGCAAGACGGAAAACCCACTAGACGAAAGGGTTTTCCGTTTTGGAGGCGCTTCGCAAAATGAATTTCCCTATGGGCTTCCTTCGCAAGACGAAAGCCCATAGGGAAATCTCCGGGACAGCGGGGAAGCGCAGCGCGTCTTCCCCACTGTCCTCGGACCTCCTCCGAAGGCTGGCGGCGGGGCGGAGAGACCTCCTCCCGCCACCAGCCTTCGTTTCTCCGCTATCCCGGACGGCTTTTGAAGGCAGGCGGGGGGGGGGAGCAAAGACTTTCGCCCCCCGCCGGACTTCAGAAGAGGTCCAGGACCTCTTCTGAAGGCCGGCGGGGGGGCGAAAGTCTTTGCTCCCCCCTGCCTGCCTTCCCGGGGGCTTTTAAATCGCCCCGAGACAGTGGAGAAGTCCTCCGCTGTCCCGGGGTTTTTTAAAATGCTGGCGGGCGGCAGTGGAGGCTTCGCTGCCGCCCGCCAGAATTTTAAGATCGCCCTGGGACAGTGGAGAAGTCTCCGCTGTCCCAGGGTTTTTTAAAATGCTGGGGGTGGGAAGAAAAGCCCTTGTCCCCCCCCCCAGCCTTCAGAAGAGGTCGGGGGACAGACTGTCCCCGGACCTGGTCTGAAGTCGGTTTCCATAGGAACGCATTGATTGATTTTCAATGCATTCCTATGGGATTTCGAGCTTTGCAAGACGAAAAACCCGCAAGAAGAAAAAACTTGCGGAACGAATTAATTTCGTCTTGCGAGGCACCACAGTATTTCACATGTGTGTAAGGAATGAGAAAACCCCTTTCTTTGTAGGGGATGAAATTTAAGATATAGTGTTGAGGGAGGATTTTATAGATTCTTTTTCCCTTCCTTCCTTCCTTCCTTCCTTCCTTCCTTCCTTCCTTCCTTCCTTCCTTCCTTCCTTCTTTCGTTTCTTTATTAGTTTGTTTCTTTTATTGTATTGTGTAAGCTTTAATAAATATTTCTCCCCCTCCCAAAAAAAAGAGTGAAACCACCTTTATTTCCAGCGATTATTTATTTGCCAAAATCAGAAAACTCTTTCCTTTGAAGAAATGCAAAGGTCAGCTCTGAAATTTGTTGCGCAGTGGGCAGCACAACATAAAAGTTTCGTGTACATTAATGTCTTATAAAATTATGGTTGGGTAGAATGCAAGGGAAATATACACAGGCCATGTGGCGTTTCTGACCCAAGTGTTTCTGCAAAACAGTGCAAAGAACTAATGTTCTTCAATATATGTATATACGATGAGGCGGATCACAGCCTATGGCATTTTGCAAGAGTATTTTCCAACAGCGACAGATTTGCTCTGATGTCAACATGGACTTAGGCATACAGGGGTGTCTTGTCTCCTCTGGCTGCACTTGGTTAAATTATTGAGATGTCACAAAGGGATGGGCCAGTTGTATGTTGATTAGATCAGTGTTTCCCAACCTTTTTTGGGCAAAGGCACACTTGTTTCATGAAAAAAAATCTCGAGGCACACCACCATTAGAAAATGTTAAAAAATTTAACTCTGTGCCTATATTGACTACCATATTTTTCGCCCCATAGGACGCACCGCCCCATAAGACGCACCTAATTTTTTGGGGGGAGAATAAAGAAAAAAAAAATTTCCCCTCCCCAGGCACGGGGCAGGCGCGGGGGAAGCCCAAGCTTCCCCCGACCCCAGCCCCCAGAACAGCCTGATATCCGCGAGCCTAGGGAGCCACACTGGTCTCCCCAGGCTTGCGGAGAGGTGCGTGAAGCCCGGGGGCGCTCTCCAGCGCGCACCAGGCTTCGGGATGCAGGCAGCTCTGCGCTACCCTCCAGAGCCCCGTGCGGCTTCGCGCTGGGATCCGGGGGGTGGCGCGGAGCTGCAAGAAGCCCTGGAGCGCAGGCAGCTTCGCACCACCCTCCGGAGCCCCGCGCGGCTTCGCGCCAGGATCCAGAGGGTGGTGCAGAGCTGCAGGAAGCCCTGGAGCCCAGGTAGCTCCGCGCCACCCTCCGGAGCCCCGCGCGGCTTCGCGCCAGGATCCGGGGGGTGGCGCGGAGCTGCAAGAAGCCCTGGAGCGCAGGCAGCTTCGCACCACCCTCCGGAGCCCCGCGCGGCTTCGCGCCAGGATCCAGAGGGTGGTGCAGAGCTGCAGGAAGCCCTGGAGCCCAGGTAGCTCCGCGCCACCCTCCGGAGCCCCGCGCGGCTTCGCGCCAGGATCCGGGGGGTGGCGCGGAGCTGCAAGAAGCCCTGGAGCGCAGGCAGCTTCGCACCACCCTCCGGAGCCCCGCGCGGCTTCGCGCCAGGATCCAGAGGGTGGTGCAGAGCTGCAGGAAGCCCTGGAGCCCAGGTAGCTCCGCGCCACCCTCCGGAGCCCCGCGCGGCTTCGCGCCAGGATCCGGGGGGTGGCGCGGAGCTGCAAGAAGCCCTGGAGCGCAGGCAGCTTCGCACCACCCTCCGGAGCCCCGCGCGGCTTCGCGCCAGGATCCGGGGGGTGGCGCGGAGCTGCAAGAAGCCCTGGAGCGCAGGCAGCTTCGCACCACCCTCCGGAGCCCCGCGCGGCTTCGCGCCAGGATCCGGGGGGTGGCGCGGAGCTGCAAGAAGCCCTGGAGCGCGGGCAGCTCCGCGCCACCCTCCGCAGCCTCCTACGGAGGGCGCCCCGTGCTCCGCGCTGCTGGCTGCCGCCCGCAAGCCGTGCACGCGGGGGGAGTTCCCCTGGGCGCGCAAGGCTTGCGGACAGCTGAGCGAAGCACGGGGCGTCCTCCAAAGGGCGCCCCGCGCTCCGTGCTGCAGGCTGCCGCCGCAAGCCTTGCGCGCCGGGGGGGGAGTTCCCCCAGGCGCCCAAGGCTTGCGGACAGCTGCGCAAAGCACGGGGCATCCTCCAAAGGGCGCCCCGCGCTCCGCGCTGCAGGCTGCCGCCCGCAAGCCTTGCGCGCGCGGGGGGGGAGTTCCCCCAGGCGCCCAAGGCTTGCGGACAGCTGCGCGAAGCACGGGGCGTCCTCCAAAGGGCGCCCCGCGCTCCGCGCTGCAGGCTGCCGCCCGCAAGCCTTGCGCGCGGGGGGGGGAGTTCCCCCAGGCGCCCAAGGCTTGCGGACAGCTGCGCGAAGCACGGGGCGTCCTCCAAAGGGCGCCCCGCGCTCCGCGCTGCAGGCTGCCGCCCGCAAGCCTTGCGCGCCGGGGGGGAGTTCCCCCAGGCGCCCAAGGCTTGCGGACAGCTGCGCGAAGCACGGGGCGTCCTCCAAAGGGCGCCCCGCGCTCCGCGCTGCAGGCTGCCGCCCGCAAGCCTTGCGCGCCGGGGGGGGGAGTTCCCCCAGGCGCCCAAGGCTTGCGGACAGCTGCGCGAAGCACGGGGCGTCCTCCAAAGGGCGCCCCGCGCTCCGCGCTGCAGGCTGCCGCCCGCAAGCCTTGCGCGCCGGGGGGGAGTTCCCCCAGGCGCCCAAGGCTTGCGGACAGCTGCGCGAAGCACGGGGCGTCCTCCAAAGGGCGCCCCGCGCTCCGCGCTGCAGGCTGCCGCCCGCAATGTTTGGATTTGCATCCAGCAGGAGATGCCGCCGCCACCCCGCCTCTCCCGCCTCCCTCCCACGGCACACCAGGCAAGGTCTCACGGCACACTGGTGTGCCGCGGAACACCGGTTGGGAAACACTGGATTAGATGAGTGTTAAGGGATCAGGTGGCGCTGTGGTCTAAACCACTGAGCCTCTTGGGCTTGCTGATTGGAAGGTCGGCGGTTTGAATCCCCATGATGGGGTGAGCTCCTGTTGCTCTGTCCCAGCTCCTGCCAACCTAGCAGTTCGAATGTATGCCAGTGCGAGTAGATAAATAAGTACTGCTGTGAATGGAAGGTAAACGGCATTTCCGTGCGCTCTGGTTTCCATCACGGTGTCCCGTTGCGCCAGAAGCGGTTTAGTCCTGCTGGCCGCATGACCCAGAAAGCTGTCTGTGGACAAACGCCTGCTCCCTCAGCCTGAAATGGGTGGACTTAACCATCCAGGGGTCCTTTACCAAAGGACCACTGACAGTTAAGTCCAGTCACAGACGACTCTGGGGTTGCGGAGCTCATCTTGCTTTACAACCATGTGCAACCATGCTCATCAGCAACACAAAGGAAGGGAAATGAATGAATGACTTGGGGATGGGATAGAGATTTGTTCAGTTCATATTTTAATACAAACTTACCAGATTTGCACTTCCCAAACCAATACATGGGGGGGGGGTGCAGCTCTCCTTTAAAACCCACATTTTACTGAATTTTGCAATGAAGTTTTCCAACCAAAGAATTTGTACATAGATGCACCTTGAAGTGCGCACATGAAAATAATACTGAAAATTTTGTTATGGGAAATTGTTTGCAAAAATCTATAAATTAGGTAGCGTTGCATACAAAAATGCCGGCAGGAATTTTTGCGCAGACTAAGACAAGCTAATCTAGAAACCGATTTAAGATTAGAAAAACTAGAAACCAGAATCAACAAATTTGCCCTTCCCTAGAATGAGCTGAAGAACTGCAAGCCGTAGCAAACTACACATCCATTGCATTCTACATAGCTGGGTCTCTCCAGATGTTGCTGGACTACAACTCCCATCATTTCTAAGCATTAGCCATGCTGTCTTGTGATGGATGGGAGATGGAATCCACCAACTTCATCTGAAGGGCCACAGGAAATAATAATAATAAAGCCACTTCCGGACCTGGCCAAGGATGTGGGGTTGCAGGCTTCACGCCCACCCCAAGTGCACGGGGGCTGGGTCACAGCCCCTGCGAGAGCAGGGGAATCCCGGCCGTGTCGTCCGCCCAGCCAGCCAATCGTGTGGCTGGGGGGGCGTGGCCTGCCCTATTTAGGGCCGGCGTGGCCAGTGTTCACCCTCTTTTGCCAGCCGGCCAGCAAGTTGACGTGCCTCAGCAGGACTCCCCCTTTATGGTGTTAACCCTTCCCGGTCTTCAGCAAACAGGCTGGAGCCGGATAGTCAATAGGACCAATGCCTAAGCCAATGCCTCTCATTCCTGAAATCAATAAAGTTGTGGCCTAATTCGCCCATTTAACCTTAATTCTGGTGTCCTGTGTCTTTATTTCCCTGGTGGGGGTCGAGAACTCGCCGCGCAAACATGTAACGCTGAAGAATTCCCGATGTATTGCAGTTTCACTTTGGCCACAAAGGCTGCATTCTCACTGCAATTAATTCCATTCTCCTGACGTTCCCCTAGCTGTTATTTTTGCCCATTATATTTGAGTTCTCACAAGATGTAGAAAGGCAGTTCTGGAGAACTAAAGGAATGGAATGTAGTGTAAATTTCAGGCTCATTTCCGTGTTATTTGGGTCTAGAAAAAAAAAACAATTTGCAGCCCATCATCCTGGAAAATCATGGGAGTTTCACATGGCAATTTGCCCATCTTTTTCATGGGTCCATGCTGTGAATAGTTGTGAAGTGACACCCTGCTCATTTTAAGGCTCGTGCCTTTTCAAAACAGTTGGCATGCTGGTATTTTGGCATAGAAAGTCATGCCGAAAAGGTAAAGCCAAGAAGAATGGTGGAATGTTGAGATATTCATATGAAGAGAAGCAAACTTAGGAGAAAGTATAGTTATTGTTGCTGGACAGCTTGAATCCCTTTGCTTGAGATATCAGAACTTAGCAATAGATTAGGGTGTGAAGGCAAGATGGGGAAACTCTCCATCGTCAGAGCGAACAGCTGATTGCAGGACGATTCTGCATATGCAAATGTCCTTCCAAAGCTAGACAGTCCCCCACTCTCTTTTCCGCAAAACGTTCCTTCGCATTTTCCCTGCAGCTGTCTTTGGTAGCTCTTGGACAAACTCGACCTAGCAAAGTAAAAGACATTGACGTCATTTATCGCAGTCACGTTACCATGGCTCACAAGAGTTTAGTGTTTTTCATGTGAGTGGAAGTGTCAAGTTAATGGCTTCTTCCAGCCAACAACAATAACAGCAACATCTGCCCCCTGAAAACGTCTCCAGTCTACGGTCATTGTTATTATTCATTAGACTTGTTCGTTACTTGAAGGCCTCCAAGCAACTTAACAGGCACACAAAAATTAATATAAATATATGATACCTTACAAAGCTAGCAGAACAACTCTTGTAACAGCTGGAGGAAGCTTTGGTAGCACACTGGGAAGAAAAGGATAGCATCACGGGGAACATTCTTTCACCTCTGGTGGACGTGCCCAAAGGTTAAGGCTTTCTGGGAAATGATCTATAATGAACTGAAAAAGGTATTTAAGTATACCTTCCTTAAGAAACCAGAGGCCTTTCTCTTGGGCATTGTCGGCCAGATGGTGCTAAAGAAGGACAGAACTTTCTTTATGTATGCAACAACAGCAGCAAGAATACTCATCGCAAAGTATTGGAAGACACAAGATTTGCCCACCCTGGAAGAATGGCAGATGCAATTGATCGACTACATGGAATTGGCAGAAATGACTGGCAGAATCCGAGATACGGGAGAAGAACAAACGGAAGAAGATTGGAAGAAATTTAAAGACTATCTGCAAAAACATTGTAAATTATTTGAATGTTGAAGTGATGCAGGATATAAAGATAGTGCGGCATTAGTGACATAGTTGAAAGGAATATGTAAAGATGTTTTATGAGCAATAAGTAAAGAAATATGGCAAAATTAATCAGTGTTAAAATGATGGGGAATTAGAGGATAAGTGGTCAGTAGCGGAATGGTTAATTTAAAAGAAAATAAGCAATATTAAAATTAATCAAAATAGTGGAAGGATTTGCTGAAAACAAATTAGAAATTGGAATACGGAAAAGGGAGGTGTGAGGAAGTCGGGAAAGTAAGCTACAAGAAATTAAGATTTGAACTTATATACTTTTTTCTGTTTTTGTTTTTGTTTTTGTTTTATATTATGTTTTGTCTGTTATTGTGTTGTTTTGTGTTGTTATGATAAAAATTTGTTGAAACTTTAATAAAAATATTTTAAAAAAGAAAAAGAAAAGGATAGCATCACGGTTATCATGGATAAAGGAAAGGCTTGACCTGACGCTGAAAATATGTCAGTGAAAGCACCAGATGGACATTGCTGGAGACAGCATTCCACAGATGATGATGATGATGAAGAAGAGTTTGGATTTGATATCCCGCTATATCACTACCCTAAGAAGTCTCAAAGCGGCTAACATTCTCCTTTCCCTTCCTCCCACACAACAAACACTCTGTGAGGTGAGTGGGACTGAGAGACTTCAGAGAAGTGTGACTTGCCCAAGGTTACCCAGCAGCTGCATGTGGAGGAGCGGAGACGCGAACCCGGTTCTCCAGATTACGAGTCTACCGCTCTTAACCACTATACCACACTGGCTCCTTTGTTGAATAGCCAGTTGAATAGTCACAACTGACAAGGCCCTTTCCCTTGTCACTACCCTCCAAGCCTTCCTCAGATGAGGGACCTGGAGAAGGGCCTCTGAAGATCTAAGGGCCCCAGTGGATCAGACTGAAAGCCAATGCAGTTCAGACTCTTCTTTCTCACGGTGGCCAGCCAGGTGCTTCTGGAAAGCCTACAAGCAGAACAGGAGCGTAATCACTCTGTTCCCTTGCAGCTAGTAACTCAGATGCTTGCTGCTACTCAAGCACAAGGAAGGAGGATCCCGCCACCATGACTAGTACCCATGGACAGGCCTGGGCAATATCTGGTTTTCAACATTGCGATATATCATCAGCTAAACATCACGATACGGGACGCGGGTGGCGCTGTGGGTAAAACCTCAGCGCCTAGGACTTGCCGATCGCATGGTCGGCGGTTCGAATCCCTGTGGCGGGGTGAGCTCCCGTTGTTCGGTCCCAGCTCCTGCCCACCTAGCAGTTCGAAAGCACCCCTAAGTGCAAGTAGATAAATAGGTACCGCTTTATAGCGGGAAGGTAAACGGCGTTTCCATGTGCTGCGCTGGTGCTGGCTCGCCAGAGCAGCTTCGTCACGCTGGCCACGTGACCCGGAAGTGTCTCCAGACAGCGCTGGCCCCCGGCCTCTTAAGTGAGATGGGCGCACAACCCTAGAGTTGGACACGACTGGCCCGTACGGGCAGGGGTACCTTTACCTTTAAACATCATGATATGCTGATATATCATAATGTCTGAACTAAGGAGAGAGCTATTGGCTGGTTTCATAGTTTTCCATGCATTGTGATTTTTGCTGGAACCTGCTTTTGTGATTTGCAGGACTCAGGGGAGAGCTGAGCCAGCAGAGTTAACAGGGGCTGCAGGAATCGGGAGAAGATAGATAGATGGAATGTTGGTCTGACTTGGGAAATGGCCACTTCCTCTCTTCCTACACAAAATAAAATTAATAATAATAATAATAATAATAATAATAATAATAATAATAATATATTTATACCCCGCCCATCTGGCTGGGTTTCTGCAGCCACTTTGGGTGGCTCCCAACAGAATATTAAAAACACGATAAAACATCATACGTTAAAAACTTCCCTAAACAGCGTTGCTTTCAGATGTCTTCTAAAAGTCAGATAGTTGCTTATTTCTTTGACATCCGATAGGAGAGTGTTGAACAGGATGAGCGCCACTACCGAGAAGGCCCTCTGCCTGCTTCCCTGTAGCTTTGCTTCTCGCAATGAGGGAACTGCCAGAAGGCCCTCGGTGCTGGATCTCAGTGTCCAGGCAGAACGATGGGGGTGGAGACGCTCCTTCAGGTATACTGGACTGAGGCCGTTTAACGGCTTCAAAGGTCAGCACCAACACTTTGAATTGTGCTTGGAAACATACTGGGAGCCAATGTAGGTCTTTCAGGGCTGGTGTTATATGGTCTTGGCGGCCACTCCCAGTCACCAGTCTAGCTGCCGCATTCTGGATTAGTTGTAGTTTCCAGGTCACCATCAAAGGTAGCCCCAAGTTAGAGCGCATTGCAGTAGTCCAAGCGGGAGATAACTAGAGCATGCACTTACATAGTGCATCACTTACATAGAACCAGTGAAATCACTGGTGTCTTCCTGTACCTAGGGCCATGGGTAGGGAAAAGTCTCCCAGGTCAGCACCAAGCCACTAGGGCACATATCACATCAGTCCAATAGGAAAGTGAAAGACAACTTCTTGATTTCCCAAAGTCTGACTTCTCAACACACACTGTCATTTCCTGGTTAGGTCCTGGGAAGATACTTGCCTTTCTAGGATACTTGTAAGGAGCAGTCACCTTTTTCACATGATCCTGGAGCTCCTTGATCAATTCTTCTGGGTCATGTGATAAAAAAGCAGGTGACAAGACGACAAAGGCTTTCACCACCTGTAGGATGCCAATTGTATGTGCTTTAATGACTCAGAGAGAAAAAGTAGGTTTCAGTGTGATTAAGTGCTTGGTGTCGCAAAAGACACTCCATTCTATTCCCCCTTCCCCTCGTCCCCCTGCAGTCAATCAGCATTTCACATCCACTAAGCATGCTCTGTTCTCATGTAGTTTCACCCCACTTAGGAAATTCCCCTCTACATATTGCAAATTTGGGGGGTTCCCCTGAGCCTGCTGTTGCCCCAACTCTTGAGCATGGATTGCGCCATTTTATCTACAGAAGGATTCTCACTTGGAGAACTATAGGCCAAGATAGATTCATAAATTAATTTTGTGTTGGCCATAGCCAGAGCATAGCAAATATAACTGTTTGGAGGGAAGACAAGACCAGGATTTAGGGATTCATGGAGGTTGGCAGCATCTCTAGGGAAAGGGAGATATTTAGACCCCATTGTGGTCCTGGTAAGATCATGCACTGGGCTGTTCCCCCCCCCGACTTTCCATTTGTACCCAGCTGAGCTAAGGTGAGTTTGCTCACTGAGAACATTTTCATAGTTCCTCGACTCAGAAGCATCCCTGAAATGCAGTACTGCCATTGCCGCTGTCATGTTTCAAGATTTATTATGCTTTCCCCAAGCAAGCAAACTGCATGTGGCTTTTGCCCCCTGAGTATCGTGTGTTTCAGAATGTGTTGGCTGCCTGAATCTTTGTTACCTCTCCTCTCACGGGATCTGGGCTGCTGACCACAGCCGATTCCACCACAGCTGGGTGCTCTATCAAGGCACTCTCCACTTCAAATGGGCCGATACGGTACCTAAGAGAGAGAAGGAGGTCAGTCCCGTGCCTTTTGTTGCAGAGCAAATGAAAAAGCCAACTGAACCAAACCTACCCAGCCGAATTAATCAAATCGTCTGATCTTCCGACAAAAAAGAAATAACCTTCTTCATCTTTGATCGCTCTGTCTCCAGTGATATAAAAATCGCCACGTTCACTAGCTGCTGTTTTCTCAGGGTTATCCTGGCAACAACAACCAGACAACATTTCAACCAATGACTGCTGATCTGTCCCTTTTGGCAATGGTGCCTCAAGATAAAATAGCAAGGTGACGGGTTCTTGGGTTGATTACAGGGCCAGCTCCAGATCTTGGAGGGTCCTTGGACCAGATGTTGTCACTTCCTCTGCCCTATCTGAGTGGGTCCTACGTCTTCCTCTCTGTTGCCTCTATTTTCTCATACTCTCCACCAGCCCCTAAACCAAACCACCATGCAAAGGGAGAGTGGATGGTTTGAAAAGAGGATTAGACAAATTCATGGATGATGAAGTTATGAATGGATTCTAGCCATGATGGCTATTTTCCATCTCCACCATCGGAGGCAGTATGACTGTGAATACCAGTTGTTGAGATTCACAAATGGGGAAAGGGCTGTTGCACCGAGGTCCTGCAAAGCCATTTCCCTTAATACAACACAGCTAGATAAATTATTTCCACCAACGTATGCATTTTATGCAGTTTACCCTGGTATATGCCCTTTTTTGGGTACACATTCCACGACATTGCAAAATTCAGAAAAGTGCAAATTCCAAAGGATGGCTGTGTTTCAGTTTGGGTATTGTTTTGAGAAGTGCAAATGAAGAAGGTTCATCTTTACATGTGAATGGGATCAAATCCCTTCCCCCATCCCTTACCACAACCAAACCCTGTTACAAATGCAAACCCAGAGCAAGTGAAGCTGTTGCTGAACATTTTCACCAGACCTGCTGAGGAACACCAAATCAAATTATTATTATTATTATTTATTAGAAAACGCTACACAAAAATGAACATAAAAACCCAAAATACAACTCATTCATTAGAGCAGGGGCAGGCAACATGATGCCTTTCAGATGTTGCTGAATTATAGCTCACATCTGGCCAGGCTGGTTGAGGCTGATGGGTGTCGAAGACCTACAATATCTGAAGGGTACAGCTTTGCCTCCCCCTGGCTTAAGAAGTTACACAGGAAAGTGTAGCAAGAGTCTTATGTGTTGATTTTCTTCTTCCTTAGTTTGCCCACTTTGTCACCTCAAATAATACTTACTAAGTACCCTGAGAAAAGACAAAATGGTCGCTTGGGTTTGATCCTGATCGCAATGTACCCTTCTTGTCCAGGAGGTTGAACATTGCCTTCATCATCTACAGTCTGTAGAAACAAACAAACAAACAAACAAACAAACAAACAAACAAACAACAGAAGGAAGCTTCCCAAAATGCACATATTATTTCAATTGACTGGCCTTGATTTAAAATTCATATGCATATCCTTGGTTCTCTGTGGCACCCATTAGGTTCTATGGAATAAATAAACATAGATAAAGCTTGTTCTCAGGTTTCTGTTACACTCCAAGAAATGGGAAAGAGTAGGAACATGGAGAACTGAACTATGCAAGTGAGGATTGACTTAGTAATCAATGGCCCCCATTAAGTTCTATGGTATATATAAAAAGCATGCAGTGTGTGTGTGTGCGTTCACAGAGTTCTAGTACATGATATTCTATTGAGAAATGGAAAACATTTGAGAACATTTAGATAAAGAAAGAGGGGGCTAATCAGTTTTCATTGATTCCCATTCAATTCTTTGGTCAAGGAAAATGGACTGCTCAGCTGGGACACAGCTGAGAAAAGAGCAAATTACTTGCATACACAGGACTTCCCCGCAATTCATAATAATGGGGATTTACTTGGTGACAGATAAATTATAGGGAATTAAAGTACAAGGATAAAGAATATTTATTCTCTGTTATCCTCAAGCATTTCGATGAACACCATTCTGGTAAATTTAAGTTTGTACCTGGACATCATATGGTGGAGAAGCCATTCCTAGTGAGCCCGGTTTGATTTTCATTCCCTTTATATTGGAACATATTGTTACCTGTAAGAAAGAGAGAAAGAGAGAGAGCACAATACAACTAAATGAAATTTGGGGAAAGGGAGGAGATTGTTTTCACTGTGGCATGAGAAGACAGCATACCAATCTAAGACAAGCAAGGTTTGGTCTAGGAGCAAAGGGGTTCGAGAGGTGCATGTGGAAACTAGTGCCCAGGAAAAAAGAAAGATTTACATTCCTTGCTCCGCCCACTTTTGTCCCTAGCCCCGCCCACCACTAGAATTTATCCCCCAGAAGATTGAACAGAATGGAATGCAGCCCTTGGGGCTAAAAAAGATCAGTCGAAAGACCCACTACCACACACTAACAAAGACAGACATACTGTTTCTGTTTGTCCATAGCCTTCATAGATATCCAGCCCTGTATGAGCCTTCCACCGCTCCATCACTTCTGGGATGAGTGGTTCCCCTCCTGTCACACAGTGCTTCAGGCTCATGAATTTGCAGCTTGAGAAGAAATGGCAACCATCAGTAGCAATCCTATAAATCAGGGGTGAGGGAGCTTTGGCCCTCCGGATGTTGCTGAACTACAACTCCCATCACCCCTGATCATTGGCTCTGCTTGCTGGGTCCCATGCCCCCACCAGAGGACTCCTCTACCAAGGAGGATCCGGAGCCCCAGAAACTCAGGAATAGCCCAGAACAATATCCATGGAAGAGTTGGGACCTTGGGGGAGGCTGGCAGGGCCCCCTCCCTGCAGAAAGGGAGCTCAGTTTGGGATGCAGAGGCAGAACAACCCCTGCAAAGACCTTGGGGTGATGGTACCTCAAGAGGCAGGCCAGGACCCTCGCAGCCATGAGAAATGCTCAGTTGCAGGAGACTCTTTCTAAAGGGCTATTTATTCATGGACCCTCCTCCTGAGTAGGTCTCGAAGAGGCTGCAGCAGAGCCCAGGGTGGGGTTATGGCATCTCTGTCCTAACGCCTCAATGTCTTGCTACCACCACTTTCTGTTGTACACAGAACTAGCTGTTTTCTTCATATATTTATGGTTTTCATTTATATACATTTCAATAGTAGTTTAACAGTAAATCAAACATTTCAAAACTCAACTTCCTTCCTCCTCTTTCTGCGGTTCGTTAAATTTTTTTATCATCATTCTTTTATTCATCTATGATTATTTTTTAAATCATCCTTTTATTAATCTATTTTCATATATCTATATTTTAAAAACTGCAGGTTATTACAATAGTCCTGCCAATGTTTTTTGGAGCTAGCTGTTTTCTTACCTGGACTTTGGCCCACCCTTTGACCTGTTCTTTGTCTGAGCTGCTGGTGAGCTGGACCTTGGGCTGCCCTCTTGTCTGAGTTCTTGTATGAATCTCTGCTGCCCTAGACTGGAGCTCAGATGGACCCTTGCCTGAGCTCCTCTTGGAACCACTGCTTGTCTGGAATTGGACCTTGGGCTGCCCTTGCATGTTCCTGCTGCCCGTACTCACAACAGCCTTGGTTATCTGGAAAGTCTCCTGCAACCTGGGACTCACCTAGAGCAGGACACTGGAGCTGATGTTGTGTTCCCAAAACATCTAGAGGGCTGTAGGGTCCCCACACCTGCTACAGAAGTACCAGCTATAGCCAGCTGGATTTGTGCTGGTGTTTTCTTTTCACCTAATCCCTTGAATTCGATTAGACTGTGTTTCATAAACCACTTTGCAGTGGTATTATGCTTAACTCGATTAAGCAAATGGATTCTGCAGGGAACAGTATGCAATTTCTCTAGTCATGCAATTATTCAAATGATAGACTAGGTTAAGCATCTGTTTTTGTAACACTTGCCATGGTGTACAAGCCAGACTCCATTCCCAAGAACCCCCAAGCCTCAAACTACGGGCAATGACTCAAGAGTGTCTCTTTCTCCCATAATGCAATAGGTTAGAAATGAATTGGGACGCGGGTGGCTCTGTGGGTAAAAGCCTCAGTGCCTAGGACTTGCCGATCGAAAGGTCGGCGGTTCGAATCCCCGCGGCGGGGTGCGCTCCCGTTGCTCGGTCCCAGCGCCTGCCAACCTAGCAGTTCGAAAGCACATCAAAGTGCAAGTAGATAAATAGGGAACGCTTACTGGCAGGAAGGTAAACGGCGTTTCCGTGTGCTGCGCTGGCTCGCCAGATGCAGCTTGTCACGCTGGCCACGTGACCCGGAAGTGTCTCCGGACAGCGCTGGCCCCCGGCCTCTTAAGTGAGATGGGCGCACAACCCTAGAGTCTGTCAAGACTGGCCCGTACGGGCAGGGTACCTTTACCTTTATCTAGAAATGAATTGCAATCTTTCCTTACCTGCCCACACAGGTATCCTACAGTGTGAATAAGGTAAAAACGCATACCCTTCAAGTGTTTTCCTGTGACATCATGGAATTACAGAGGCCACCCCGGCTTCTGATTAGATTCCAGAATGCCCCCTCCTTTCAGCACAGCCGCTGCTGAGCTCGGCAGTGGTGCTGTGCTCTCGCACGAGTCAGTTGGCTCTTGCAAGAGCACGGCACCAAAAGATGCTCATGTGCTAGCAAAATTTTAACAACCCATCTCCATAAAACAAGGACAGTGATCTACTAGGAACTACAGGCGTCCGTGGTAAAGATGAGCAGCCGGAGCAAATGACAAGAACCATTTGACACACATCCAATTCTCATCACACTTCTTCTCTTGTGTTCATCTTTCCAGTTACCTGGTGAGATCGTGCTGAACCAACATCCGGTATGCAGTAGGAGCTGTGCAGAAAGTCGTGATTGGGTATCGGTTGAGAGTCTGAATGGAGGCAATGGAAGCACAACCATTATTGCAACCTCAAATTCTGGTTTTGGAGCATAGGGTGAGATCCAACGTTAGGAGGGTAGCTTTCGGTGGGACGTCAGAAGGAACTTTCGAAAGAAGCTCTCTTTAGAAACATCAGAAAAATGGGTATGCAGTGTAACAATGTACACAGACTGATTGCCCATCTCCTTAGCTTCTCCGTTCTGCCAGGTGGACCTCTCTTTTGACAGCCCCAGATCACTCTGGGTGGACTTGAGCTGATCTGGGGTGATCCCATGCTGCCTCAACCTGATCCAGCTGAAAGAGGTCTACCAGAATCAGAAAGATCCAGTTTGGGACCCAGTGCACAGCTCTAGATTCTACACACTCACATATCCCTCTCTATCTTCCGCCCAGGGAATCAAGAGGCATTATCAGAGTTGAAGGATATATTCTAGCTGGGCAAAAGCGGTCAAGGAGCCTGCAAAGCCAGACCAGTGAGGGTTGTGGCTTGGAAAGGGGTGTGACCTAGGGGGAGTCCGGTAGGCCTTCTTTAGAAGCACAGAGGGCTTAATTTGGGCCCCAACCTTGAAGTTCCTCATTTCTGGTCCACAGACCCTACATAGCCTGGCAGAGGCTCTTGAGATCCTCTGACCTGAAGTCTTTTCCATATTTGCCAAAGCTTGAATCTGAAACTTTTTGCATGAAATGCTCATCTCTTACAACTGAACCCTTTCCTTAAAAGTGAACCTATGACCTGCATGCAGGATGTTATGTATGCAGGCATTGTAGACTGAAGCCAGGCTGCATGAATGCAATGCAGACCTGGGCCTTCAGGCCTCCTGGAGCTCAGGAGCTTCATCTGCATAACAAAAGACAGAGAGGATTCTAAAACCCTCCAATGACATTCTTAATAGGTGGCAGGCTGCCAATTGCTGCTGAGATAGGGCCAGTGATTTGCTAATTGCAGCATTAAGGCAGCCTATCACAGGTGGTAGGTGTGTTTTGCCTGGGCCAGCTTATACTAGGCCAAGTGTTCCTGTTTGTCATTCTTGTTCTTGTTCCCGATGTTCCAATAAATCCTTTTTGAGCTGAATCTGGGTGTTAGGTCATGCCCGAACCCACCTACACTCCACAGACCTTTATTCTTACATTTATTATGACGGTGGGTTCGAATTTCAACAGGTGATGTACAAAGACACACGACCCATTGATCCAAGGAGCAAACACGCTGCTCCAAGCTGACTTCACCCATCCTGTGTCAGATGTATTCCAGAATATATCTGAAGGACTCAGATTCATCCAGTGCCTGTTCAGTGAGAAAGAACACAATTTGTATTGGCTGTCGATAGTCAGGATCCTGGGAAGCAGTTTATAGGATGTCTCGGCAGAGATGTTGCACATCTGATTTAGAGGGTACGGGGAGAGCTGGTGGAGAAGTACAAAGTCCATATGGGCAGTGGAGTGGATCAAAAAGAGAAATCTCCTCACCTCCAGCAATGCTTTGTCCCTGCTGACAGGTCAGACTTTGGGGAGGAAGTCTAGGGCCCCATTTAGCAGAATAGAAGACCCTAGGGGGCTACAGGGAACATGTCATAATCTAAGTCAAGTCTAAAACTGTCTAATTGCACCATTGGTTGAGCCTCCTGCTCTGTTCTCCCCCACCAGCACCTTGCAAGTTATGCCAAAGTTGCATACATTATGTAAGTTACATAACTTGCATTAAGTAGCAGACGGTGAGACAAACAACACAGTATTGGAGAGAAACCAAACTGCAGTGCAAGAGAAACAGTGCTGACAGTAATGAATACAGTCCAGAACAGAAATCGCTGCCTTCTTACAACCTTAGTAATGGGCAATGCTGCTTTACCTGGCCCAGGGGTGCCATCTAGGGGGGAGCTGGGGGGCACCAAGTCACCCCCCATTTTCAACCAGGGGACTGGGCCCTGTCAATATTCCATGCCCCGTCAGGCCTAGCCAGAGCCGCGTTGGGCCCCATCAGGCCTTCCCGTGGATGTGACAGTCCCCATCAGGCCTCCTCCTGTCACGTGACGTCATACTTCTGCTGCCCCCCAAAAGCTGGACAGAACCCAGCACCTGTGCCACTGCTTGAGCTTCCCATTCTTCTGATCCACCTGTCTTCCTCTTAACCTGAAGCTTTCCAATCCTGTCAGGGCCCTTTGCACCCTAATCCAAAATGGCGTTGCACTGTTTTGCCACCGCAAGAGTTTGAAAGAAGTCAAGGGGCGTTACCTGCCGCTTGCTGTAAATCCAATCCCGTAACTGCAGTGGGAATGTTCCACCATTTTGGGAGACCCTGTGCTCCCACTTGTAAAGTAGATGATCATGGGCTCGTCGCTTGTTGTCTTAACACAGTCGTGGTTGGCAGGTGCTGCTCTTCAAAACAGTGACATCGTACGGGATCAATGTGAAACATGCATTTCATGAATGAAACCCCCTGGCAAGCTCCCCAAACTACATCAGATTGGCACAAATCCAATGGATTGCTGTACAGCATCCAAGTTTCTCGCCCACCAAGAAGTTTTCTGGGCATGCTCCAAAGACCCCCCAAATTTGTCCATTTACAGTGGTGCCCCGCAAGACGAATGCCTCACAAGACGAAAAACTCGCTAGACGAAAGGGTTTTCCGTTTTTTGAGTCGTTCCGCAAGATGAATTTCCCTATGGGCTTGCTTCGCAAGACGAAACGTCTTGCGAGTTCTTGCGAGTTTGTTTCCTTTTTCTTAAAGCCGCTAAGCCATTAATAGCCGCTAAGCCGCTAATAGCCGTGCTTCGCAAGACGAAAAAACCGCAAGACGAAGAGACTCGCGGAACGGATTAATTTCGTCTTGTGAGGCACCACTGTATATAAATTTAAAATGGATTATATATTTTTAGTGTGTTGTAGGTATCCCACTGTGATGCAAGCTCTTCCAAATTTGTCCATAAAAAAAAAATCTTTAAAAAATGCTTTAACTGACCATTCCTGAAGATTCCCTCTGTGGTGTCAAAAGATTTTTGTGATCTTCCCGACCCCCCCCCCCCAAATGAGTTCTTTTAAAAAAAAAGAAATAAAATTGGCTATCCTCACTTTTACACTTCAGCTCCAGCCCCCTTAACACATGACCCTGAAGGGTTTGTTGTGGGTCAATCTGGCCCTAGGCCTGAAGATAGGTATCCACCCTTGGTTCTATCTATGCTTCCACCTACACCCGGCTGGTAAATAAATACCAATGTTACAAAACATCATTGAGTCCTCAGTGATATCCTTCCAAAGGAACTATAAATGAGTAAGTGTTGTAACACCTGGAACTTCTTAGCAGAGTGAGCATAGCAACTGGTTGCTCTCGTTTCATGCTTCTTCCATTGCAGTACTTACTGGAAGAGATCCTTGAAGTTCATCCAGCCATCTCTGCTGCTGTCGGACACAAGAAGCTTGGTTTTCACAAAATTGCATTCAGACAGGACTGAGTCCACTGCAGGGGCCAGCGTGTCGCTCACCACGATGCATTTGGCTTTGGAAGCCTGGAGCCTGTAGGAGATGTCTTTGGCTGTCAACTGGGGCGTCCCTGGGATGAAAACAATGCCTAGAAAGGAAGCAGACAATGAAGTGAGCAGAGAATCCAGAAAGTCTCCATGCTTGGAAAAACTGCACGCACAGTGGTATCTCATTCGAGGATAATGCGGTGGTTAAAGCAGGTGTGCTGAACCTCAGATAAATGAATCAGTAGCATAAGAACATAAAGAAGAGCTCTACCGGGTCAGAACAAAGGTCCATCTAGATCAGCATACTGTTTTCACAGTGGCTGACCAGATGTCTCTAGGATGCCCATTGTGATGGCCTGGGACTCAGGCTCAGACTTGGAGGCCAGAGGAGTCTCAGTCCGCACCGGATCCTTTGCCTCAGGTGGCATCTGAACCTAGTCTGGGGCCTGATTCTGAAGAGCCCCAGTCTGCACAAGTTCCCCTGCAACAAGCACCAGCTGGGCCAAGTCAGGGGCCTGATCCTGCTCTGGCTCCAGATGCGGGGATTACCACGTTGCCCTCTGCTGGGCAATCATGTGCAGCTGCTCCACTACCAGTTGGGCAGGAGAGGCTGAGGTGGCCTCTGGGTCTAGTAACCCACCGACATCTCCCGAGCTGCAGAGACTCAGGTCTGAGAGGAGAGACCTGAGTACTCGCAGGAGGAGTGCTCGCCTTTGGGCGAGACAGGGAGGTGAGTCACTGGGGGATCAGGACCGGCCGTTACCCTGACAGAGATAAAAGGCTGTCGGACCCCGCCCCGGGTTGCGGGAGCAATGCTGCTGTTTGCCAGAACCTGCCTGTGATCCTGTGCCTGACCTTGCCTGGTTTCCTGCCTCATGTCCTGCCTTGGCCCTGTCGGACTGACTCCTCGCGGAACCCTTGGATTCGGGACCGGACTTGGACCGCGTTACTCGGGTTACCCCCGGGCCCAGCACACCCATAAAAAGAGTGTAATAATTCTCTTCCGCTCATGATCCCAAGCCAGTTATTCAAAGGCATAGTGCCTCTGATACTTGAAGGTAGTACAAAACCACCAGGACTAATAGCCATTGATAGCCTTATCCTCCATGTGTTTGACTAAGTCCACTTTAAAGCCTTCAAAGCCTTCTTCTAAAAGGTTTATCTAGAACTGGTTCTGCTCTGCCTCCGCAGTCGGAGACAGGAATTCTTCTGAATAGCACTTGCTGGAAACCGCAGGAGGGGAGAGTGCTCTTGTGCTCAGGTCTTGCTTAAGGATTTCTCACAAGGATCTGGGTGGCCTCTGTGAGAACAGGATGCTGATCTGAATGAGCCATTGGCCTGATCTTGCAGACTCGTCTTATGTTCTTATTCTGGGAAATAATGTCGCAGCCGAAATAAAATTTCATATGTTGCTAGATATGCAAAGGGTTAAGACACATGGAGTTTCTCCTGTAAATTCCTAGAGATGGGGCTCTGTGAGGTCACATCCTTTGCTTGCCCTGGCAGGAAAAGTAAACATAGGAAAATAATCGTTACTACTTCCTTAAATGTATTTTTAACCTTCTGTTGGAAGCTGCCCATAGTGGCCGGGGAAACCCAGCCAGATGGGCGGGGTAGAAATAATAAATTATTATTATTATTCCTTCGTGCTCAGAGCTCAGTTTTCTTTTTTCACCATGTAGCCAACAGAGAAAGGATGCTACTAGACTCCATTTTTTATTTCAACCATGCATTTAGTAATCTAGAAGTATATTCTGCCTTGTTTGTTTTTCCACTGCTGCTTACTGCTGAATCAAATCTGAAGCTTTATGTAAGTGAACAGTAATTTTATTCTTACATTACATTACGTTTAAACCAAATGAAAGGGATAAAATGGGAAGATCTAGTCTGCTAAAGCAGTGTTCCCCAACCTTGGGCCTCCAGCTGTTTTTGGACTACAACTCCCATCATCCCTCACTAGCAAGACCAGTGGTCAAGGATGATGGGAATTGTAGTCCAAAAACAGCTGGAGGCCCAAGGTTGGGGAACACTGTGCTAAAGCATCCTGGATAATTACTAATGAGGTTAAGCAACCTTTGTCCCAGAAGTTTCTACAGTTGATGCTGCAAAGGGATGCTAAATTTTAAGCTCTGCTAACTAAACATTGGACTCACACAAGTAAGAGGAAGGATAAATAATAAAATAATACCCTATCCTGCCCTCCAAATCCACCCAACACTAATGACTATTTTCTTGCCCATAATATTGACTCACCTGTCCGCATACAAGCCACGCTTAGCAGCCACCATTCTGGAATCCGGGGTAGAACTGTCATGATCCGGTCACCTCTTTGCAAGCCGCATGGACCAAGGAGCATGTTGGCAGCTTTCCGGGATAAGACTCCCAGTTCCTCAAAGCTCCACTTCACCTCTTTGCTCTGGTCGTCCACCCACCAGAAGGCTGGGTTTGGAGATCTCTTTCCCTCCTAACAGATAAGCCAAAAAGCTATAATAAGATGAAAGACAACTAAAAACGGTGCATAATCTACACGGCCAAGCACATGCGCCAATCAGATAGGATTTTATGACCAACAGGGAAAGGTAAGGGAAAGATAGAGCGGGCAAGAGTACACTGCGAATAGACTTGCCTTGGAAGCAGTCATCATACGGAGCTGTCTTATACTGAGTCAACTCATGGGCCCATCTAGCTTGGTATTGTCTACAACGAATTGGTGTGGCTCATCCCTGAGGGGTCCTTCTGGGTAAGCACCGTTTGTTTTTAGCTCCGCAGTTTGCTCAAGTTTTTATCATTTTAAAGACCTTTTGAAGTCCTAATTGTTCCAAAACCGTTTCTTTCTTTTATTTGGTTGTATTACTGTAAGCAACTGCGTGTTGTTGTTTTTTAGGTAAAGGTAAAGGGACCCCTGACCGTTAGGGACATGGACGACTGGGGTTGCAGCGCTCATCTCGCTTTATTGGCCGAGGGAGCCGGCATACAGCTTCCGGGTCATGTGGCCAGCATGACTAAGCCGCTTCTGGCGAACCAGAAACGCCGTTTACCTTCCCGCCGGAGCGGTACCTATTTATCTACATGCACTTTGATGTGCTTTCGAACTGCTAGGTTGGCAGGAGCAGGGATTCGAACTGCCAACCTTCTGATAGGCAAGTCCTAGGCTCTGTGGTTTAACCCACAGCGCCACCCGCATCCCCTTGTTGTTTTCTATCAAGAACTTTTTTTATCTTATTGTCTGTTTTGGCTATGGTGAGCCTGCATGTGTGATGGGAGTCGCCCTTCACTCGGCGTTCTTTTTTTTTTTGGTATCTTTTTGATTTTATTGCTGGATGGGATACTCTCCAGTTAGTTGCTGAACTGCCTAGAGTCTCTGCTTCTTCTGGTTAAGAGGAAAAGATAACGTCTTGCCCAGGCATAGGCAAACTCTGGCCCTCCAGATGTTTGGGACTCCAACTCCCGTCATCCCTAACTAACAGGACCGGTGGTCAGGGATGATGGGAATTGTAGTCCCAAACATCTGGAGGGCCGGAGTTTGCCTATGCCTGGTCTTGCCAGTGACGGTGTTTGCAACAAGAGAGGAAAGCTTCCTGACTTTGTTTACCCCCCCCCCCCCATTTACCACCTTCAGCTTTCCTTTCGTCAGTGAAGTTGCTATGTAGAGTTGCTAAAACTATTCCTGATGTCAAGGGGGAAGTTATAAATTACAGGGGGCTGCATATTCAATATAATATGAAACAAATCTCTGCAATGAATGGCAACAGCTCTCCTGGGTTTCAGACAGCGATCATTCCCAGGTCAGAGGTCATTCCCAACTGGGATCTCAGGCATGCAAAGCATGTGGTCTGCCATAATGAATGGGAGGGGAAATTCACTTCTATTTGCATTATAATGAGAAAATACCTAATTTGGACTTTTTGAACCAAAATGTGAACTGAAACATGGTTATCCTTTGAAATTTGCATCTCTCCGAAGTATGTGATGCAGTTCTCCAACCAAACAGTAAATACAAAAACACATATATTAAGGGAAATTATGCACAGAGATTGCATTTGTTCATGAACATAACATACTAACATGCATTACATTAGGTAAAAGAGCTTTCCAATATGCAAAAAAAAAAAACCCCCACAAAAAACACTGGTAGGAGAAATTCACAGGCAAATGCTGATGAATTTTCGTGAGGATTAAAACAAATAATCACAAATTGTTGCAAGAATGTGGAGATTTAAAAATGGAAAAATAAGGAAGTCAGAGACATCGAAACTGGTTGATTCATCGATCCCTGTCTACAACTGAATTAGATCCATAGTCAGCCCAGGTAACTCAAGGCAAATAAAGGGAGCTTACAGAAATCATGGATCAGAATCCTACCAAAGACTAGAGTTAGATAACCCGTGTGACCAAATCCAAGACTTCCTTCAGTCTCTTAAGTTTGGGCAACACGTACATGAACAAAGCCACAGGTCCCCTGTACTCCACGGAGATCATAAAAGCATACCTATAGTACCATCAATATCCTGTTTTCTTGCCAGCCATGAATGTCTTCTTAAAGCAGACAAATTCATACCTTTTCCACTTGGGTCCACCTGTCCAGAACATCACTAGCAAAATTGAAGTACTTGGGCACTTCCTGTTCACACCGGTTTATAGCTTCGTAGTGTGGGGTGATTGGAGAGGCAAGGTGTCTTTTGACTTGATGGAGCAATGTGTGAGGTGGCCGCAGATTCCAGAAGCATTTAAACAAGGTCTTCATGGCACCAGAGCAGAAGGCAGCTTGAGAACATCAACTTAGCTGGATTTTTCTGCAATGACATGTTGTAAAAGCAGAAAAGTTTTTCTAAAAAAACCTTGGAAGTTAACAGAAACATCTGATACATTAGGAACACTGTAAAATACGTTATACCAAGTCAGTATTGTGTTAGATGTGCCAATAGACTGACTTGCAGAATATTTCTGACTACACACTAGAGGTTGACTGTTTCCACAGAATGACTCAAAAGCATACAGGGGAAATGTTTGATGTTGGCTTCTCCAGTTTTTGCTTGTTTGTTCTTGTTTGAGGTAAAGATCTTGAATCCAGGAGATCAGGGAGGTTGTGAGCAACTTGGGTGAGAGAACATGGGGCTACCTTTGAAGGTGACCCGGAAACTACAATTAATCCAGAATGCGGCAGCTAGACTGGTGACTGGGAGTGGCCGCCAAGACCACATAACACCAGTCCTGAAAGACCTACATTGGCTCTGAGTACGTTTCGAGCACAATTCAAAGTGTTGGTGCTGACCTTTAAAGCCCTAAACGGCCTTGGTCCAGTATACCTGAAGGAACATCTCCACCCCATCGTTCAGCCTAGGCACTGAGGTCCAGCTCCGAGGGCCTTCTGGCAGTTCCCTCACTGCGAGAAGTCAAGTTACAGGGAACCATGCAGAGGGCCTTCTCGGTAGTGGCGCCCGCCCTCCCAACAGATGTCAAGGAGATAAACAACTATCTGACTTATAGAAGACATCTGAAGGCAACCTTGTTTAGGGAAGATGGGTGGGGTATAAATAATAATAATAATATAATAATAATAATAATTATTATTATTATTATTATTATTATTATATCTAGCTATACAGTGTTGGAAAATGAAGTGGTCGGTTATGGAAGGTCAGAGAGACCACTTCCTTCCAGTATATCTTTCCTTCCAGTTACTACACAGTTCTGACATTCTACTGTCCCTGCAAAGAAGTCAACTCCACCTGGGAGACCAGGGTTCAAATCCCCACTTGGCCATGACATTTACTTGGTGACTTTGGGTCATTCACTGCCTCTCGGCCAAGCCTACCTCACAGGGTTGTTGTGGGATTAAATGAGAAGGGGGAAAGTCGTGTATGCTACCTTGAGTTCCTCAGAGACATAACACCGGTCTTGAAAGACCTACGTTGCCTCCCAGTATGTTTCCGAGCACAATTCAAAGTGTTGGTGTTGACCTTTAAAGCCCTAAACGGCCTTGGCCCAGTATACCTGAAGGAGCGTCTCCACCCCCATCGTTCTGCCCGGACGCTGAGGTCCAGTGCCGAGGGCCTTCTGGCGGTTCCCTCATTGCGAGAAGCAAAGCTACAGGGAACCAGGCAGAGGGCCTTCTTGGTAGTGGCACCTGCCCTATGGAACGCCCTCCCATCAGATGTCAAGGTAATAAACTACTATTTTACTTTTAAACAACTACCTGGCATTTAGAAGACATCTGAAGGGAGCCCTGCTCAGGGAAGTTTTTAATGTGTGACATTTTAATGTATTTTTAATCTTTGTTGGAAGCCGCCCAGAGTGGCTGGGGAAATCCAGCCAGAAGGGCGGGGTACAAATAATAAATTATTATTATTATTGGAGACAAACGTGGGACATGAATCCAATAAAGAAATACTAAAGGATTATGCTCACTTGTGACAGGTACAAGGGTTTTTATGTTTGTTTGTTGTTTGTTTGTTTTGCAAAAGCTTCTTCTAGGCCTATAACAATCTTTTTAAATAGAATTGGGGAGCAGGGCTTGTCAAACCAGCTCATTTCACCCCCCCCCCTTTTGGCAGTGGGGTATTGCCGTTCTCATTAAGCTCCCGGGTTTTGTTCTGCAAGACTGTTTGTGCATGAACCTGTCTTTCCCCGAAGCCGCTGCACACAGGCTCATTATATTAAGTATTCTGTGTGCTTAATGATAACAGGGGGGAAAGGTGCATTGTGGGTCATTTTCAAAGACTGCTTGTCATTGAGAGCACAAAAACAGCACTTTAGGTAGGGAATGTTTTCCAGCTTGCAGGGTGGATCAAGAACCGGGTCACAAACCATTTTTGACAAATGGATGGGACCACCCACCTGTAAATCATCTGATGTCATTATTGTGTCAGGTGACAACTTCAAAGCCCAGGTAGGGCTGGGAGTGCCCCTGCCTGAAACCCTGGAAAACTGCTACCTGTCTGTGTAGACTCAGTATGAGGAAGTTTCCTATGTTAACTATGATAACTATTGTACAGTGGTACCTCTGGTTGCAAACGGGATCCGTTCCGGAGGCCCGTTCACAACATGAAAAGAGTGCAACCCACAGCAGTGACTCGCAGCTTCTGCACATGTGCGTGATGTCATTTTGCGCTTCTGCGCATGTTCGAGTGGCGAAACCAGGAAGTAACCCTTTCCGGTACTTCTGGGTCGCCGTGGGACGTAACCTGAAAGAACGTAACATGAAGCGGACGTAACATGAGGTATGACTGCAATGAAATTTGTGATGTCCTATATTTAATAAATAACCCCTGAATAGAGGTGAAATCAGAATGATCACCATCACGTGTCAATTTCTTTGACACAGCAATGAACATAACTTCCTTGAACCAGTTACCTAGGGCCAGTGTTTTTTTTTCCTGAGGGGACGCAGGGGGACGCATACTCCTAAGCATTTTGTGAATCTTTGTACTTTTGTCCATTTACTTTTCCCGATTTGAACTATAAAATGGTGGTTTTCTTGAATCAAAATGTGAGTAACCCTAAACACGTTTTTTTAGGGGGGAAAGCACTGCCTAGGGCATCGCATGAAGTGTCTCTCCAGTCTTGAGTGGATACTAACTGAACAGCTACCAGAAGGTAAATGAAGAAGATCTGCTTTACCTTTGTCAAAAACAGGCAAAATATGTCATCTAGGACCCAGGATTTCATTTTGACCTGTGAGCACGCCAATTTCTGTAATCACGTGTGGCAGCCATTTATGGAAGATCAGTTTTCAATTTGACAAAATGCTTGGACCTGTTTCGGGTGGTTTTATTGTTTTAGAGTTTGTCATATTGATCTACTGTTCTTAGAGTATTTCTGCGCTTTATTTTTCTTTCACCCTGTGCACCACATGGTTGGTTTTATGCTACTGAAGCAGACTTTAAACTCGTTGAGCTAATAAATAAGATGGACCAGTGTTATGACTCGGTATAAGGGGAGCACCCCAGGCAGCGGCGGAGCAAGCCAATCAGGCGCCTGTGGCGGCGTGCATGCCCTGTGCCCAGGGGTGGGGCCAGCCACCAGTGGGGCAGGGCCAGCCAGGGCAGGACGCTCCACGGGGCCCCTGAGGAGTCTGCCTGCCTCCTCCCACTCATCTGCCTGACAGCTGGGGGGGTGGCGGCTGGTGGACCATTTGGGGCAGTGAGGAGTCTGCCTGGCACCCAAGCCGCCGTGTCACTCCCAGGAAAGACGTGTGGCTCAGGCGTGCTGCAAGCCCCGTGGTGAGTGCCACCCAGCATTTTGTCACCCCCCTCAGTGGTGACACCCGGGGCGTAACACCCCCACCACACACCCCTTCCTCTGCCCCTGACCCTAGGTTCCTAAAGTGTTAGCAGCTTTAACAATTCAAAGAGGGAGCAGACTCTATTCTCTTTGCAGTGAGCCCTGTCCCCTATCTCTAATTGTGTGGGAATTAAGCCACGTGGCCTGCTGATAAGGCCATGGACATTTTTAACCAGAGCAGACCGAGGCTAGGTCCCCTTTCTCCTCTTCCGTGGTGTCTGCAACGTCCTGGAAGGCCAGAATGAGAGCTCTGTGGCTGCTTGTCCTGACTGGTTTAGCGTGCCTTCCTCTTTCTACTGCAGAAGGTGGCATTGGCCCATCGGAGAAGAAACCAAAGAAAGCCAAGCTGTCCCAAATCAAGGAGGAGGACAATGTTCTGGTCCTAAAAAAGAGCAACTTTGAGAGGGCTCTGAATGGAACACAGTACCTGCTGGTGGAGTTCTGTAAGTACTTCTTCTTCCAAAAGAGATATTACTATCTACAGTGGTACCTCAGGTTACATACGCTTTAGGTTACATACGCTTCAGGTTACAGACTCTGCTAACCCAGAAATAATACCTCCGGTTAAGAACTTTGCTACAGGATGAGAACAGAAATCACGCGACGGCAGTGGGAGGCCCCATTAGCTAAAGTGGTGCTTCAGGTTAAGAACAGTTTCAGGTTAAGAAAGGACCTCCAGAATGAATTAAACACGTAACCAGAGGTACCACTCTATCTATCTATCTATCTATCTATCTATCTATCATCTATCTATCTATCTAATCACTACATTTCTATTCCCTCTTTCCTCCAAGGAGCTCAAAGTGCCATACGTGGTTCTGTTCCTCTCCATTTTGGCCTCACAACAACCCTGTGAGGTAGGCTAGGCTGAGAGAATGTGACTGGCCCAAGGTCATTCAGTGAGTTTCATGGATGAGCAGGGGTTTGAACCTCAGTCTAACCACTAGGCCACACTGGCTGATGAGCTAATCTTCACAAAATGGGCACTTTAAACCTGAATGTCTAGGGTAAATTTTATTCTGCTGTCATTTAAAGGTGAATCTGCCTAATTTGTACTTTCGGGGGGGGGGGAGTACAAGAACCGAAACACAGCCATCCTGCGAAATTTGCACTTCTCTGAATTTTGTGGCACAGTTCGTCAGGCAACTCATATATACAAAAGCATATATTAGTGCAAAGTGTACCTGAAGATGCTTACATTCATGCTAACAACATGCTAAAATGTGTGATATTAGGGGAAGTCACTCTACAAAAATGTAGATATTAGACAAAATTGTGTGTAAGGAGAAATTAGCACTAAAATGCTGGTGAATTTTCAGAAATATCACACACACACACACACACACACACACACTGATGTGGAAATGTGAAGCAAACTTAAGAATGGAAAAATGAGAAAACGAGGGAAACAGAAATCAATGTATTTGCCTCGTGCCACCTTAAACTAACTGTGCAAGAAGTCCAACTGAATCAACGGGAATTACTTCCTATGTTGTCCAGAAAAGAATGCTTCCCTTGGGGTGAAAAGGTTTCCCCATCTCTTATTTATTCCACCCTTTCCATGGGCTCATTGAGCTGGGGTGTCTAAAGGCCAACTAGTCCATTCGCCAAGCCAAATTTAGGACTGCTAAATCTCCCCCCACTCCTAACCAATATAGAAACTTCAGCCAATGATCTGCTTCAAGCAAAGAAGAAGCATATTATAAGAGAATCTAGATGCTGTGAAAGCAAGTCAAGGCACAGTGCCCTTATTTTCTCGCTGCATAATGTATGTGTTCATGGTGTGTTCCTGCTGTTGACTTTTCAGTTTAATCCATTGGTATAAAAATATGCCAAGGTTGATTTTGGCTTTGATCTAGCAGTAGTTGTAGTCACTTATTAACTTTTTAGCAAACTGAAAAATCAATGCAAATAATGAACATCCATTATTAGTGCAGAACGATTTTGTGGATATATGTTTTGCTAAAACATATACAGAAGAATTCTGTATATGTATATGTATTATATATATATGTATATGTATTCTTCTGTATATGTATTCTGTATATGTATTCTTCTGTATATACAGAAGAATTCTGTTTGAAGTTTTGAAAATGGGACTTTGGGGCAGCAGGTGAATTTGTCGATTCTGTTTTCTGTTTTTTCTGTTTCCCTTTTTCCCAGTTCTCCATATTTCTAGGTTTGTGATTATTATTATTTTTAAGTCTCCATGGATGCCCATTAGCATTTCAGAACATTTTCTCCCTCATATACAGAGTTCTGAATGCAGTTTTTCCTGAAGTAAAAAAAATGCAAGTAATTTCCACTGATATAATGCATTTTAATATGTTGTTTTCATGAATATATGCATTTCTATGCACATTGCTTGGCTCGGAAAACAGCATCGAAAAACACGAAGTACGAATTTTAAAGGATAATTGTCTTTTGGTTTGCAGATTGCTTTGGAAAGTGATAGGTTCACGTTACAATTTGAACAGAACTGAATTTCTCCCCTCTCCCTGGAGACTAGTCATACATGCCTTTCTTACAAAAAATATCTGAAGAAGTGTGCATGCACACGAAAGCTCATACCAAGAACTAACTTAGTTGGTCTTTAAGGTGCTACTGGAAGGAATTTTTTTGTTTTTACAAAAAATAAACAAAGATATAAGAGGTGAATATGGTATTGTGTGTTTTCTATGCGGTGGAGGGGACACACACACACACATTTTGAATGTAAAATGTGTTATTGTCTGTGAGTCACTGAATTTCTTGGAAGAGGCTTATGCATGCAGCTTACTCTTTGACCTTCTTATGTAACAGTGGGGGGGGGATGCATATTTTTTTCTTCCGACAGAGAAAAGTATGTTCATTAGAATTATGAAACTCTGGAGGATCAAAAATTTGTTATCTAGAATGGGGTGGGGAAGGACTCTCCCATCCACTTCCAGGGGTGCATCTAGGGACTTTCTGCAAGCTCCCTACCAACCCCTGTGCTGTGACCCTTTCCCTATAACGGAAGCACTGATGGGCACTGAGCAAACCCCCAAAATAGCATATTGCACAGTGCCCACAGCTGTCGGCATTTTATTTTTATTTTTTTTGTAATTTGAGAGTGAGGGCTGGTTGTCAGGCACACACACACACAACTTTGGCTTGTATCTAGCAAAGTTCTACTCAGAGTAAACCCATTAGAATCAATGTCCCTAAGTTCCAGTGCTTTTTTTCCTGGGTACACAGTACTGGCAACTTTCCCTCCCACCAAATGTTAAAAGCGTGGGACTTACATCACAACTTCATGGTGAATACTGGCACCTTTTCTTCGAAAGAAGAAGCACTGATAATGTCCATTAATTTCTCCCCGGAGTAGGACTAGAGTTGGATATGGCCATTTGTTCACAGGGCAGGCACAAACAGAGTGCCCCAACCCTTCCTCTAAAACATTTAAGCCTTTTTAGTACTCACCAGTGCTCAGGAGTTGGGGAGTGGGTGGACGTCTTGACTGAGCCTCTCGCTATGACTGCTGGGTCCCTGGATCCCCTCTGCAGATCCTTTTCTGTGTCCCGTGCCTGGGTTGTTGTTTTCAGGCAAAAGTGAAAGCTTGCTCGCAGCTGTAGCCTGAATTGCCTGGCCCGACTGTCATACAATCTGTGCAGCAGGGGTGGGACAAAGTCCAGGCTTGACTTGGAGCGGTGCCCTCGATCCTCACATCTGCTGTGTGTAGTGAGGGGTACCCCATTCCTTCCTTTCTTTACTTATCGTTCGTGGTAGCTGCTGCCTAGCGAGACTGGTAAGGCAGGAGACCAGCAGTGGGTGGAGGCAGAGGCAATAACAAGCAAGAAGTCAGTAAGAAGAATGGCATGTAGGGGTTGGCCGAAGGCAGTCTGAGATTGATGGGGCCATGCAAAATTTGGCTGAATAGGTCAGCCTCCACTGCTTAGAAACTGCTTCCCCTCTGCATTGGAGACCCCCAAAGCAGCAGCAGCAGCAGCAGCAGCAGCAGCTATTATTATTATTAGTTTATTATTATCATTAGTTTATTCCTCAAGGAGCTCAGGGTGCAGCAAGATAAGCTTTAATCATGTGACAGGGCAGGGAACCTCAGGCCGAGGGTCTGAATGCAGTCCTCTCTCTATCAGGCCCTTAAAACTCTGCCCAGGCCATGCCCCAGAGGCCACGCCCATCACTGGCTTGGCTATGTGCCCTGATCTAGCGATTTCACTAGGCTGGAATGTGTCCTCAGATGGTGATAAAACCTCTTGCTTGCCTGGATAGAGGTTGGAAAGTTGTGCATGTCTGACCACACCGATTTTCCCCATGGCCACCACAGGTATGTGGCCCCCGGAAAGAGGGAATTTGGCCCTCAGGCTGAAAAAGTTCCCCATCCATATTGTTTTCTAATGATGCACCACTTTACCCGCTGAATTATATGCTTAGGAATATTATTAACGCCTTATCTCGGTGTGGAGGGGTGATATGTACTGAAGTTCTCACCCTGGGCTAGCAGGGGGATACTGTAGATAGTTATGCAAATGAAGGATTGAAAGTGACGTTCAGTGATTGGATAGTTTGTATGCAAATGAAGGATCGAAAGTGAAGTTCAGTGATTGGATAGTTTTAGAAAGTTGTTACAGTAACAAGGTACTGGAGCTCTATATAAGCAGGCTGACTGAGGCCTTTAGTTCAGTTCTGTTCCAGCTTACAAATAAAGAGCTGCTTTGGAGAAATCGCTGTGTCGTCTGCTATGTCAACCCACAACTTAACAATTATATTTTGATCCAACCCTACCTGCAGGGCTCTCAGAGCAGCATACATGGTTCTCCCCCTGGTGTTATCCTCACAACGACCCTGCGAGGTAGGTTAGGTAGAGAGATTAGTGACTGGCCAGAAGGCCCTTGACGCTGGACCTCAGTGTCCGGGCAGAACGATGGAGGTGGAGATGCTGGGGATTGAACTGAGGAACTTCTGCAGTGAGTCTCATGGCTGAGTGGGTGATCTGAACCTGGGTCTCTCTGACCATAGGTTCAACACACTATACTTACAGCCGCATTCCTTTATGCAGTCAGCGACGTTGAAAGATTTCCAACGCTCAACCGCGTTGAGGCTGGGATCAGCATCCATAGCATTGCAGACCCGCAAGAACATAAGACTCATGTACTTGGCCTTGAGGCAGCGAGCTACGCCTTGGTGGAGAGGCTGGATGACGGAGGTGGCACTATGGGGCAGAAAGACAACTTCAACGTTGTTATGAGCAAACCGGACTCCCTCGGGGTGGCCGGGAGCATCATCGACAATCAGCAACACCTTAAAGTCAATTCCTTTCTCTTCGAGGTACTGATTGACCTCTGGAATGAAGCATCGGTGGAACCAATCCAGGAATATTGCTGCCATCACCCAAGCCTTTTTGCTCGATTACCAGAACACAGGCAGGAGATGTTTGTCCTTGCCTTTTAGGACATGAGGATTTGCAGACCCACAGAGCAAGCCGGGCTTTGTTAAATGCCCGGCCACATTGCAACAAAACAACAACATCACATGGTCTTGGGCCACCTGTCTTTCTGCTTTCGAAATGTATGAGTGGCTGGGCATTTTCTTCCAGAAGAGCCCCATCTTGCCAGCGCTGAAAACTTGTTCAGGGAGATATCCCTTTTCTTCTATCAGTTTCTTTAACTGTTTGGAGTAGGGTTTCACCGATTGTTTATTGGTTTTTCAGGTTGAAGCTGTTGAGCCAACCTTGGCTGGCTTTGAACTCCTTCTCATCACAAGGCCTCCCCTCTTTGATAAGAGGTTTGAACAGCGCGTACAGGTCAAGAGCTTTTTCTCACATCATGTTGCCATCGATGGGAACGCCTTGGCCGTTCATTTCTTCCAGCCACAAGTACAACCCCTTTTCCGCCTTCAGCAAAGTCTGATTGTGAACTTGGCTCATCACCTTAGCAGTTATGGGAGCACCTGAGGATTTCCCAAACTTGGGTCTTCAGCTGTTTTTGGAATACAGTTTCCATCATCCCTGACCCCTGGTCCTGCTAGCTAGGAATGATGGGAGTTGTAGTCCAAAAACAACTGGAGACCCCAATTTGGGAAACTCTGCTCTAAATGCTACATCACACTGACTGTGTCAAAGTGGGAGCCAACTGCTATTCATGCCAGCTTCTGCATGTTGCCATTCGCCCTAAGTAGCAAAATAGAGTGGACAAAATAGATTGGGCTGCCCTGGTTGGGACTCCACTCACAAATTACCCTAAGATGCATTATTCTTGAATATCCCCATCCCCAAATGTGGTTACATAAAATCCTAACAGGCAAGGATCAAAAGTCTTCTGTTTGAGTTCTCTTCTCTATCGAATGCCATAGAAGACATTAGATGAAATAATTAATGTTCCAAGGAGGCTGCTGGGTATTATTTCAAGGCGGCTGATGGCTGTGGCAGGCTAGAGGATGATTAATGGAGGTCTCCTGGTAATTATGATGAAAATAAATGTTTCGGGGATTTGCAACTGATCGGCAAGTTAAGATGAACAGATTAAAACCTTCTAGCCATTTATCAAAAGTCTAATGAAAGTGACTGTCCCATGCTGGTTTCGGATGGGACAGTTACATAATAAGGTGTCTTGAGGAATAAATACAGGAAAGTTATTTATTTCTGCATTCAGATGGCTGTAATGAGCCATAACTTTCTATGCTACCTCAGCCTTCTCCCCCGCTGTTGCAGAGGATGCTGTGACCCTTGGTCATGCTGGCTGGGCTAATGGGAACTGGAGGCTAGTAAAATCTAGAGGGGCTTGGTTGGAAGGGGTCTTTTATTTTAATGGCTGTCTCCTCTCAAGGTCGGTTTAAAGAGAAAGGAGAGGAGGGGCTCTGTGGTTAACAGAACTCCTCTGCATCTGAGTCCAGCATTCGCTCTCTCCTGCTCATCAACCCGAGAACTGGAATACAGAGTTGATGCCTGGGTGTCCTCACCTGGGACCCAGGTGGGTGTTGTGGGCCAGGAAGTACAGTCATACCTTGGGTTACAGCCACTTCAGGTTGCGTTTTTTTCGGGTTACAGACCGCCGAAACCTGGAAGTACCGGAATGGGTTACTTCTGGGTTTCGGCGGTCACGCATGCACAAAAGCGCTAAATCACGCTTTGCACATGCGCAGAAGCGCCAAATCGCAACCCGTGCATGCGCAGACACGGGTTGTGAACACTGTGGGTTGCGAACTTGCATCTCGCAGGGATCACGTTCGCAACCCGAGCGTCCACTGTATGTCAGAATCCACAGTGCACAAACCCCTATGCAATTACATCCTCTGTCACAGAACAGGTTTCTGATACACAACTGACCACGGCCTGCTACGTGCATGAACACATTCTTACCGTCACAACCACAACATATCTTTGCCACTGCCCTGTACTGGAAATGTGTTGGAAAGAAAGTCATCTCTCTCCTGCCTGCTTATTTTGCAAGGAATTCAGTGCTGCCTTGGCCTTGAAGCTCTGACAGCTTGCTACTTCGTTTTAACAAAAAGCAGATACGAAGCTAAACAGAGATTTTTAATGCATTTGTTTTACACACTTGATGTAACGTTCGTTAAATCCCAAAGCCAGAGATGTCCAGTATCAATCAGATCATCTCTGTCAACTGAGTCAATTAAGGATTGAGGCCCCTTTATGTTTTCACACTGTTGAGTCAGAATCACAGAGTTGGAAGTTTAAGCATTTTCTCACACACCCCCACCTGCGAATAAAAGATGCATTTTTGTGTTTTCGCTAACAGTCAGGGCCTCTCTTATCAGCTCTGCATAGCAGAATGAAACTGGCCTTCAACTTCAAAGCCAGGACAACAATACATTTTCCTGATCCAGACAAGTCTTCATGTAAGAGATAGCAGAAAAGCAACATTTTGTATGGGACAGAAGAATAGTGAATTTATAAGCTTTGATTAGTAAAACTTTGACAGTAAGAGCTGTTCGACAGAGGAGCAGTCTCCCTGGGGAGGTTGTGGACTCCTTCTGTGAAGGTTTTTAAGGAGATGGCCATCTGTTGTGGATGCTTTAGCTGAGATTCCTTCATTGCACGGGGCTGGACTAGATGCCCCTTGGGTCTTTTCCAACTCTAAGATGATTAAAGATACCTATTGCCATAGTAATTAGGAGCAAGCTGCTCTGCCCAATGAAATTAGTTTTAGGGGTCTGTTATCCAATCATATTGCTGAAAGGGATCGCTCATGGGCTAATCATGTAAAGAGAATGTTTTAAAAGTGCCTTGAATTTTGTATCCGGCGTCCAGAATTTGGAGAATTCCTCTGGATCATTTATTCTTACTGCAGTCTGCAATAAATCTGAACTATTTCCATGACGCTGCTGTCTTTATTTGGCTAAAGAGGACCAGTGTCATTTCCAGACCCCCTTTGTAGGGTAACAGAATCACTCTGGCTCTTGAAGTGGAGGTAATCTTGTCATTGTGACTACTACTAGCCAACCCTTTCCTCGCCAAAAGGGCATGCTGTGATCTGCTGGGGGAAATTTGGCATTTTAAAGCTCTTTTTACGTTGTACTTTATTTGGGCCTGAGCTAAACCTCTGTCGATGTTGCTTTGTGTTACTTTCATTCATTTTGTAACAGTTGGATAACCTGATACAAGTAAGCAATTCTGGATCTTATAGCTTTGCCGCCCAGGAATTTGCCTAATCCTCTTCAAAGCCATCCAGATTAATGGCCTTCCCTACTCCTTGTGGGAGGGATTTCCATAGGTTAACTTCCTATGAAAAAGCATTTCCTTTTGTCTGTCCTGAATCTCCCAACAATCAATTTCATTGGAACATCCCTGCTACAGTACACAGTAATTGAAGTCTGGTTGCACCACAGAAGTTTCCCATCCTTAGCTACATGCCATGTAATGTTTGTGTTGTATTTGTGGGAGATCAGTCTTTTAGTTTTGCAGCTTCTTTCCTCTGTTGATATTAGGCAGAGCCTTCATTGCACTGTTTTCGATAGCCACTAAAAACTTTTTAAAGGCAAACCTACCCAGACACCTGGTTTTATTGTGTACATTTTTTTAATGTTGATGTTATCTATGATACATTTAATACATCTACTGCTCTTAAAGCCTGCTATCTTCAATGAATATTTTGCATTGTTTTATTAATGTATTTATTAATGCATTTATTATCGTTGAAATTTGTACACAGCCCTACATCTGTAGAGCTCAAGGCAGTTCACAATATAATATATAAACTGCTTAGAGATTATTATTATTTGATTAAGCGGTATATAAATCTTGCTAAGTAAATGAAATAAAGAAATAGCAAACACACACTTCACCTGGTCACAGTTCTTCCCACTATGAAGATGTACTGTAATTCTGTTCACATTAGCATAGTTCTTTCTAAATTTGCATCTCTAAATATACATTAGCATATCCAACCTGTACACAAACCCATTCCAAATCTCATTCTCTTCTGTGGTGATCAGTGCCGGATTTACGTATAATCGAAACAAGCTATAGCTTAGAGCCCCACTCTCTTGGGGGTCCCAAAAAAATTTAAAGGGGAAAAAACCTGGGTGTACATTTCCAAAATATAAGATAAAAAACAAACAAAATAAAACCTACATACAAAAAAGTGTTTTGTGTTGTGTAGGCTCCTATGATGTAAGTAATGGACCCCGCCTGCTAGCCTGCTCCCTAAAATATCACTGATTTGCTCATTTTTAATATACTTCTTCTTAATTGTATTTCAGTTCAACAATTACTTTGATAAAATACATATTTTGTTATGTGCAAATGGCTTCAGATACCCATTAGGTCCATAAATTACCAAATAGCATATATTCAACACAAAAAACAGCGACAACTTGTTGTTGACAAAGGACAGTTGGGCATATAAAGGGCTCCATTACCTTCAGTAGCTTAGGGCCTCATCAAACCTAAATCTGGCCTGGTGGTGATGCTGATTATGGGCTTCCTACGGGCATGTGGTTGGCTGTTGTGAGAAGAGGAAGCTGGACTAGACAAGCCTTTGTTCTTATGTTCTTCTGTGTAAGGGGCATCCTAGCCAATGTGGATAAGCAACTGCTTTTCTTTGTCTTGGTTTTCCCCAGACATCCCGTTATCTGGACCTTCTCAGAGCTTGGCTGCAGAGTTTGCCAAAGCTGCAGAACAGTTGAAGAAGGAATCTGTGGATATCCGATTTGGCAAAGTGGATGTGACCGATCAGAAAGACTTAAAAAAGGAATTCGGCATCCTGGAATATCCGACCCTGAAGTTTTTTGTAGACGGTGACAGGAAAAACCCCGTTGATTGCAAAGGTAAACCCATACGCAGCTGCAAATATGCCTGTTTGCTCACAAGGGGGAGCTTGTGCCCAGCTCTCAAGCATACAATGGAATCGTTTCAAAACTTAATAAATTTGAGCACATGCAAGAGTGTTGAATAAGGACAGGGGCATTTAGGGCTGGGTGGAAAGGGGTGGGAGGGAGACAGTTTCACAAAACACTTCACCCCCCACAAAATATGCCCACTGCATTGGGAACAGTTGGGTTGTGTGTGTCTATGAAATGGGATGAAAATGCTCACTTTTCATAGCAGGGACATAAATCTTTGCTCACAAAAAGCACACTCTGAACATTTCGTCTGCCAGCATCACCAGATGCCAGCGTACTCCAGAGATGGTCCTTCGGCGGTTGTTAGTGTTGGAATGAGGAGAGGGGTGGTGGTGGAATAAAACACAGTGGCTGCAATCTCCATACCGCAACATTTTGTTGCAGGGTCTCATTTGGTCAAATCTTTAAAAACCGCTGTGGTGATCACACAGGGCCCCCGGACGTTTGACGGTCTATTGATCCTGTGCCACCACCCCGTTTCTTACAGGGACACACGGAGTCCAGACAGTTGTTAACATAAACAAATAATCAAGTTTATTTTTAAGTGCAGGAAACAAGCTTGTGGTTTCAGTTAGTTTTTCTTTACAGTTTCTTAATCTTAGTTCCTAACAACTTCAAACTGATTATCCCCAACTATCTATCTGACTCCACCTAACAATTCCTCTTACTCTCTCACAATACAAGTCTACCAACCCACACCTAATCCTTCCCTCTTCAACTCCGAAACCTCAACTGACTTTCAAAACCTCCCACTCTAACTTTTACTCCCCCCTTGCATTCCTACTGGCCAATCACATTCTCACTCATTTAACCCTTTCCTAATGACCCACCTAAGAGGTAAACGCCACAACCGCTTTCAACTTAAGCAGATGGATTTTCAGGAGTTAAAACTTTGGATCCCTTGCCACTGGGGAAAGCTCAGCTTCAGCACTGAACAGCTCATGTACTGCTTCTCAGCACCTTTTTATTTCCCCTTTTGTTTAGCGGAAAAACATATGGGTTTTGCTTCTGACACCTAATTCAATTAGGCAGCCTGCTCAATAAGCTGTGGAATGATCCCGAAATCATTCTGGATTAAATTGCTAGTCGATATTTTGTGCAGGGTTGGGCTAAACGGTGTTTTCCAGATTTGCCATGTAAATCACATCAGGACGTGCTCTTTTCAGGGTTTTCTTTAAGTAATAATAATAAAAAGGAGAGTGGCTTGACCTGAACAAACCTGAACAGACGCGAAAGCTGGTGATTAGGCAGCTAATTGGCAGCACATCCAATTACACAGGAAAGGCACAATCGTGCATTAGTTAAGCCAGGAATGGGGAACCTATTTCACCCCAAGGATCACGTTTCCTTCTGGGCAATCTTCTGTGGGACACATGCCATGCCAGTGGTGGGAGGAGTCAGAGTTAGAAGTGGGCGGAGCAGTGAATGTGAATATTTACATTTAGACTCATTTCTATACCCCTCTCTCCCTATCTTCTATCCAGGTAACCAACAGGCACTGTTAGAGTTCAGTGACATATTCCAGCCAGGCAAAAACACTCAAGGGTGCAAAACAGGACCTGTGAGAGGTGGGACAGTCCTGAGGGCCAGATAGAGAGATCTGGAGGGCCGCATTCAGACTGCTGGTCTGAGGTTCCCCACTTCTCAGTTAAACTCTCTTAAGGTGTTCTGTTTGGATGTGTGAAAGGGCAAGTTGGGACATGTGGGACATTGGGCCCCATCTGGACCACACATTTAAAGCACTCACATGCCACTTTAAACAGCCATGGCTGCCCCAAAGAATCCTGGGAATTGTAGTTCGTGAAGGGTGCTGAGGATTATAAGGAGATCCACTATTCACCTCACAGAACTACATTTACTAGTGTCCTGTGGGAAAGAGGGATTGATTGTTTAAAGATTCTGGTAATTGTATCGTTCCTGCTGATAAACTTGTTGATTCTTCTTCTTCTTTTCTTCTCTTTTTAACAGGAGTTAGAGAAGCTTCTGCCTTCATTACATGGGTCAGGAGGCAAATAGGACTCAGTACTGTACTTCTTAATAGCACAGACCAGGCCAAAACCTTCATAGACTCCGATGATTTGGTGGTGATTGGCTTTTTTAAGGTAAACTATTGTGGATGGGAATTAATGTGATGCAGCAGCAAAAAGAGCTAATGCAATTCCAGGCTGCATTTACAGAGGTGTAGTGTTCAGACCAAGGGAAGTAACAGTACCTTGGTCAGACCCCACCTGGAGTACCATGAAATTTAGCAAAACAAACAAACAAACACATAACATCTGAGGTCCTAAACTGCAGCTGACCGAGCCTGTGTGCAAATTCATCCCTGAGTTGCCTGTCGAGTCCTGTTGTTGATGTGCAACTCTTAGATGATTTTAAGGGAGGCTTAGACAAATTCATGAAAGATGGGGCTATCAGTGGCTATGAACTGTGATGGCGATACTCTGCCTCCATGGTCAGAGGCAGAAATGCTTCCGAAGACCAGTTGCTGGAAGCTGTAGGAGGACAGAGGGCTCTTGTGGGTTTCCTACACACATCTGGTTGCCCAATATGAGAACAGGATGCTGTACTAGATAGGCTACTGGACTGGCCCAGCAGGGCTTCTCTTATGTTTTTCTCCCCTTCCCCCCCTCCCATATACAGAGCGTTCAAGGTGGAGCTGTGGAGGTTTTCTATGATTCTGCAAGAGATGTCCCTGAACTTCCTTTTGGAGTAACAGCCAGCGAAGAGGTTTTTGCTGACTTTGGCATCAGAGAAGACATGGTGGTTGTGTTCCAAAAGGTATTATTAACACGTGTATCTTATATACTAATGTTAAACTCATTCTCCAGTGGAATCCCTATGTAGTGGAAACAGTGTAGAAATACATTATATGTATAAAAAAGCTGTAAGGGAACAGGGACAGGCCAGCAGCTTTTGGCTCTCCTCTCCGTGAACAATGTGGTGTAGTGGTTAAGAGCAGTGGACTCGTAATCTGGTGAACCGGGTTCAATTCCTTGCTCCTCCACATGCAGCTGCTGGGTGACCTTGGGCTAGTCACACTTCTCTGAAGTCTCTCAGCCCCACTCACCTCACAGAGTGTTTGTTGTGGGGGAGGAAGGGAAAGGAGAATGTTAGCCGCTTTGAGACTCCTTCAGGTAGTGATAAAGCGGGATATCAAATCCAAACTCTTCTTCTTCTTATTCCTTCCAGCTGCTTGTTACAAGAACTCCATTATGGTCTTGGTGTCTGGACTTGTTGTTTTCCTTCAAACTCCCAGTTTCCTTTCCTTTTGTGCTATGTCTTTTATATTTGAAGCCTGAGGTGATATTTTGTGATCACTTCACAGAGCCTTTTCCTTTGCTGGAGTGAAATGCTTCAACTAAATAACTGGATAAAATGAGAGCAGTGCAACTTTTTCACATTAGTGGAAACGGCCACTGCTATCTGTCATGTGATTCAACACAGCCATTATGCTTTGACCGATGTTGCGGCTCTTTCAAAAAATGAGATGACTGTGTTTGATGGAAGTTGTAGTCCAGGACACCCTAGGGCTTCAGACATGGGATATTCCAAGCCCCAGCTGGAGAGGCCGAGGATTAAAACTGGGACCTTCTGCACACACAGCAGATGGTTAGAGAAAGCTGTTTTATCAAAGAATTGTAGTGTTGGGAGGGATCCCGAGGGTCATCTAGTCCAACCCCTTGCAATGCAGGAATCCTACCCCCAGCCATCCCTGGGTGGGCTCGAACCATCAACCTTCTGGTTAGCAGCCAGACACACTGACTCATTGCGCCACAGGAGGGCAGCCATTTTTCAAACATCATTTCTCGAAAGGCACAAGGCAGCAACTGAATCCACCGATTCGCCCTCCCCATGTGAATGTTAACAGGGAATGTGGCCTGCTTTATTGTTAAATTGAATATTTCTTCTGCTCCAGGGAAAGCCCGTTCATAATGAAGCATCTGAGGAAGGCAAACTGAACAAAGTGGACCTTACTGGATTAATAAAAACATTCACCATGGATTTAGTCATAGAGTATAATCTTGAGGTGAGTTTGGTGCTGCCTGAGTGGTTGGAGTCTCAGATAAGGACTGGGGAGACCTGAGTTTGGGTCTCCACTCAATCATTAGGCTCCCTGGATGATCTGGGGCCATTCTCTATGGCTGAGGGAACACTGAGATGAGTGGGTCTGTGCCCCATTTGCCCTAATAGCCCAGACTTCTCTGCTCAGCTCAATACAGTGGTACCTCGGGTTAAGAACTTGATTTGTTCCGGAGGTCTGTTCTTAACCTGAAACTGTTCTTAACCTGAAGCACCACTTTAGCTAATGGGCCTCCTGCTGCCGCCGCACCGCCGGAGCACAATTTCTGCTCTCATCCTGAAGCAAAGTTCTTAACCTGAGGTACTATTTTAGGGTTAGCGGAGTCTGTAACCTGAAGCGTATGTAACCTGAGGTACCACTGTACTAGAATATCTCCAACAAGAAACTTTGAAATGGTCCCACAGACTTGTCGTCTCTGAACGGGGCAGTAAAGAAGTCAGGTTCATTCATTTAATCAGGTCTACTCTAAGTAGGGCGTAGCTGACTACAACCCTCAGTCTCTTTCTGGATTGTGACCTTCGTTGCCAGGCTTCTGTGAGAGAGCTCTGATGTTTTGTTTTCCAGACATCTGTGAAGATTTTTGACGTGCCCGTTGAAAATCACATCGTTCTCTTCATGGCCAAGAGCGCTGACATGTTTGGCTCAGCTTACGACAATTATACATCTGCTGCCTCGGAATTCAGAGGGAAGGTTGGTATCATGTCATTTTCTGGAGTTCTCTTGGATTGCAAATATTGGATGTCAGAGTGCTGAGGACATTGTAGATGTTTGCTTTCCTGGGATCGTCTCGCAAGCCTAGGTTCAAATGCAGTTCCAAAGGCAGTCAGTAAGTGACGGACTGGGGGTGAGCAGCTGTGCAATATGAGAAATAACCCCAGTCATATAGTTGTTTAAAGGTTTGACATCTGACAGGAGGTTGTTCCACAGGGCGGGTGCCACTACTGAGAAGGCCCTCTGCTTGGTTCCCTGTGGTAGATATTTTATTCATTTATTTACACATTTATAACTTGCACTTTCATACAAATATATCAAGGAAATATACAACAAAAAGCATCCATAAAGATATCATTTTAAATATGCATGTTAAAGTTTTTTCTACAATCAAACAGTATATTTTTTATGAAATAAATAAATAAATTATTGTTATTGTTATTTGAATTTCTATACTGCCTTTCACTTGAGGGTCACAGAGCAGTTATAAAATAAAATAAAATAAAAATCAGTCTTCAATAACAGCCATTTTGAGGCCCCAAATGCTGTTGGATTACAAGGCCCACTGTCCCCAGACAGCATAGCCAATGGTCAGTGTAATGCGTATGGGGTTGCTCGTGCGTAAGCTGCCGCCTCTCCAAGCTAAATTGCCTTGTTAAACCTTTCTGACTGGACAGCCCTTCTCACCGTGGCTGCCTCAGTCGCTAGCAGAATCCGTCAGTGGGCGTTTCTTAAACCTCTTCCAACATAAAAGTTGTTTGACGCCCAGTCTCCTCCTACTCTCACTGCGCGGAAGTCTTCTGTGCAGGGAGGGCGTGGGTAGCGGAGGACCTGTGCTCTCCCCGCTGGTGTCCAGTGAAGAGTCTTGGAGCCCTCTCACCAATTCCCCCATCTGCCCCCCTTTATGCCTGGTGTTGCGCTGATTTGCTTCCCCCTCTACTGAGCTGCCTCTCTCCCTGCTTGGCCCTTCTCCAGCATTATCTGAGAGCCTTCTCTTCGCCTCTAGCTCCGATGTCAGTTCCCTGACAGTCAGGGATGATGGGAGTTATAATCAGAACAATATCTGGGGGCCCAAGGTGGGAAACTGTTCTGGGATGTAAGGGGGGTAGAAATATTTCTTGCTTCTTTCATTCTTCAGATTATGTTCATCTTTGTGGATACTGATGAAACCAGAAATGGCCGTGTGATTGAGTACTTCCGGGTAACAGAGGTAGAAGTCCCTTCTGTTCAAATCCTGAACTTGACAAGTAATGTCAAGTACAAGATGCCTGCAGATGAAGTGACCCCGGAGAATCTACGAAACTTCTGCCGGAACTACTTAGAAGGAAAAGCAAAGGTGAGCTTTTGGGATGGAAGCAAACAGGGTCACGCTTTTCATTTGGTATACCATGGCAAACAATTTGTCGGTTTCATTGGTCTGGCTCCTATCGAGCCTCACAAGTGCATCAATTGCTTTTTTTGCTGTGTTTTATTAATGTGCATGTATAGTTTAAATTAAACCACTCTAGAAATTGTAATGCTGATGGCAGCTGATGATCGGTGGGTTCTTTGGCTGGCAGCCAAAGGGAGCCTGTAAAATGCAGGCTTCTTTCTCTATCACCCACCTGGGGAGAAAATGCTTCGCCAACCCTATGATCAACGCTCCCTACAGCACTGAGTGTAGGGCTAGCAATGCCCTTTGTGCTGTGGTTCCCAGGCATTCACCCACCAGCAATAATAGTACCATGTCAAATTTGGCCCACGAGGCTGATCCTGATAAGGATTTGGTTTGTGGAGCCAAAACAGTTCCCCACCATTGCACTAAACCCTGCTGTCTTTTAGCTATAGTCTGGTAATTTTTCTTTGCAGTTTCCTTCAGAGTTGCCTTACTTCTTTTTAAAAAATGCTGTTGTTGGTTGGTAGGTTTCAAAGCCACTTCCGCCTTAATGAGGAGGTAGGGTTGCAGGCACTCGCGACCCCTTCACGTGCGCAGGGGTGTGGTCAGCCCTGCACGATTGGGGAGATTCCTGTTTGTGTCACTGCCCAGACGACCAATCTGATTTGTCTGGGGGTGTGGCCTGCTTGATTTAAGCAGGACGCAGTAGGAAGCTCTCCCCTTTTCGCGCTTCCAGCTGCTCCAGTTTTCCCACCCTCCTGCCCTTTAGGATTTTTCATCTCTTTTGACCTTGCTGTGGACTCTGGTTGGTTGCTGTTGAAGGGCCTGGTAAGACTTTTCCACTTGGCAAATTGGCACCAGCTACTTGGTTTTCTCCTACCTCGTAGCAAATCATCACAACTTTGTAAGGTTTGGCGGTTAGGCATTGGAATATTGCTGGAGAAGTGGGGAGGGGAGGTAGCGCCATCACCTCCCCCGCACATTGAAGGGTATTCCCTTAAAGGATTCTGGTGGCATTGCCCTGTCCTATGCCTGGGGAGGCTAGGGCCTAAGGCACAACCCCTACTGGTGACCCTGGGGGAGCTCCTAGTTGATGTTCATCAGCAGGACTCCCCCTGCGGGTGGTTAACCCTTCCCGGACTCCCTGCAGATGGGCAGGAGTCAGATATGGTTAGGTCCAATGCCTAAGCCAATACCGCTCACAATATGTAACCAATAAAGTTGTGGCCTTTTTTAGCCCATTAACCTAAAATACTGCTGTCAAGTGTCTTTATTCAACCTGGGGGGGGGGGCGGAGTCGGGACCTTGCTACGTAACAAGCCTTTCCCAGACATGTACTTTTAATATGTACATTTGTCTTTAATATCTGCTGAGTTTATCTCTGTCTTGATCATTTTATTATGTCTGCTGTTTTTAAAGTCTGTCTTGCTTTTGCTCTTTTTAATCAATATTGCATGCCACGTTATGTGAACTGCCTATATATTTTGATGAAGTGGTATATAAATCTTGATAAGGAACTATATAAATCCTCAGCCAGAGTTCGAGATGCGTGGAATGCCAGGTGGAATCCCAGGTGGAGACATGGTTCAATAATATTTGGGATATTGCTAGTTCAGAATGACTAACTGGGCTCAGAAGAATTGCAGACGGGGTTATAAAAGAAAACATCTTTGATGAAACCTGGTTTCCCTTTTTTTTTCATATGTAAGAGGGAAAGAAAGTAAAGTTCTTCCACCAGCCTCACAAACCTTTCTATGGAGAACTTTATGGACTGCCAATGTTTTAAAACCATGTAAATTGACGCCATGGTTTTGATGCTTTGTTCTTTGCTGTGACTGCATTGTATAGTGCATATTTTGGTTTAAGATGAGTGGGATGCCAGACATATTGAATCAGAAGATGCTGAGGGAAGAGAGTAGAAGGAAATCCACTCCCTATTCCGTACATGGTTGGGGAAGGTGCCTTACAACAAGGAAGGGACATAGCTCAGTAGCTGAGTATTAGTCTTGTATGCAGAGGTTCAATCCCCAGATTCAATCCCTACCATCTCCAGGGAGAGCTTGGAGAGAACTCTGCCTGAAACCCTGGTGAGCTGCTGCTAGTCAGGGTAGACAATACTGAACTAGATGGAGCGAAGGTCAACTCAGAATTTCATCAAGGGCCATGGAGTGATAGAGCATCTATTCTGTATATAGTGGTACCTCTAGTTAAGTACTTAATTCGTTCCGGAGGTCCGTTCTTAACCTGAAACTGTTCTTAACCTGAAGCACCACTTTAGCAAATGGGGCCTCCCGCTGCCGCCGCGCCGCCACCGTGCGATATCTGTTCTCATCCTGAAGCAAAGTTCTTAACCTGAAGCACTATTTTTGGGTTAGCGGAGTCTGTAACCTGAAGCGTATGTAACCTGAAGTGTATGTAACCTGAGGTACCACTGTACAGATGGTCTCAGGGCGAGTCCTCAGCATCTCCCAGTAAGTCTGGGAATGTCCTCTGCCTGAAATACTATAGATCAAGGGTCAGCAAACTTTTTCAGCAGGGGGCCGGTTCACTGTCCCTCAGACCTTGTGGGGGGACCAGATTATATTTTGAAGGGGGGAAATGAACAAATTCCTATGCCCTACAAATAATCCAGAGATGCATTTTAAATAAAAGCACACATTCTACTCATGTAAAAACACGCTGATTCCCAGACCATCCGCAGGCCAGATTTAGAAGGCTATTGGGCCAGATCCAGCGCCCGGGCCTTAGTTTGCCTACCCATGCTACAGATGGAGCCATGGCTTAACTCGGTATACAGTATCATCCTATGTCCCTGGGATATTGACAAATTGCTCTACTGTAGTGAGTAGTTCTGCTCTCCTGCTATGGGAGAAAGCAGACAGCGGGTAATTAAAGTGAAAGGGAACATGTGGCCAGCCAGATAAGCCTCACCAAGGACTTTTAGCAAAGAGAGCCACTTAACCACCCAGCACAGCTTCAAAGATGAGCCCCTGTTGACATCCGTCCTTATCTCTTTCCCCCTTATTAGCCACATAAATCCAGCGAGGAAATCCAAGAAGGCTGGGATAAGAAGCCGGTGAAAGTCCTGGTTGGGAGCAACTTTGACCGGGTTGTCTTTAATAAGAAGAACCACGTGTTTGTCCTGTTCTGTGAGTATCACTTGTGCTTCTGAAGAGTAGACTCTGGTGGAGGAGCTCTCACAGGGAAAGAATTACTTGATTTGATTGAAGACAGCAGCAGAGTGGCACACTGAGCTGATATGGAGTCGGCTTGTGTATGTTCAAGCAAATGCTGCTAGTTTAAACTTGCCTGCAGCGGAAACAGTTTTCACTCCCATGGCACAAATTTCATGCACACTTGGACCACTTTAACAGTCATGGAAGATCCTGGGAACTGTAGTTTGATTAGGCTGCTGACCTCACAGAGCTACAATCCCAGCACCTTTAGCAAACTACACTTCCCAGGATTCCCCTTTGAAAGTTTTTTTTAAAAATTAAAAAAAAAACTTGCCAGTGCATCCCAATACCTCTCTTTCTCAGTAGTCTAACTTTGCGGGTGGCGCTGTGGGTTAAACCACAGAGCCTAGGACTTGCCGATCAGAAGGTCGGTGGTTCAAATCCCCATGATAGGGTGAGCTCCCATTGCTCGGTCCCTGCTCCTGCCAACCTAGCAGTTCGAAAGCACCTCAAATTTCAAGTAGATAAATAGGTACCGCTCCTGCGGGAAGGTAAACAGCGTTTCCGTGCGCTTTTTCTGGTTCGCCAGAAGTGGCTTAGTCATGCTGGCCACATGACCCGGAAGCTGTACACTGGCTCCCTTGGCCAATAAAGAGAGATGAGCGCCGCAACCCCAGAGTCGGCCACAACTGGACCTAATGGTCAGGGGTCCCTTTACCTTTACCTTTAGTCTAACATTGGCTACAGTTCTGTCAGCACTCACTAGCTGACTACACCATTAGAAGGTGTTATAAGTTCCAGGACCACCACTATTTATTTATTTTTAAATGGCATATTCTTCGTTTTCGATCCCAGATGCACCCTGGTCTCGCGACTGCCAAAAACTGCTACCTGTATGGGACGAATTTGGCAAGTTGTATGAAAGCCGGAAAAACGTTGTCATTGCCAAAATCGACTTCACGGCAAATGACATTCTGTTAATCAACCTGGAACGGTACCCGTTCTTCAGGTACTTCCCTGCAGGATCTGAAACAGAGGTGAGATGTTTTCCACCCTCATTGGGTACTTATGGGTAATGGATGTCTTGTGAGGAAATGGGGGGGGGGATGCAATTCTAGCAGCAAGCAAGGGTGTTCTGTGGACTCAAAAGCAAAGGAAAACTACATTTCTTGCTGTTATCATGCGTGAATCATGGAGAAACTGAGACATACATCTGCAGAAAGATAGGGGAGTAGCAACACTTTCCAATTACATTTGTGGGTGTGTCAGAGCTAGGGTTGCCATATGTCTGGAATTTCCTGGAAATATCTGGAATACTGTTATCCGGGAAAATCCATGTCAACCCATGTCAAAGCTCACCAGTGTGGTGTAGTGGTTAAGAGCGGTGGACTCGTAATCTGGTGAACCGGGTTCGTGTCTCCGCTCCTCCACATGCAGCTGCTGGGTGACCTTGGGCTAGTCACACTTCTCTCTGAAGTCTCTCAGCCTCACTCACCTCACAGAGTGTTTGTTGTGGGGGAGGAAGGGAAAGGAGATTGTTAGCCGCTTTGAGACTCCTTAGATATCAAATCCAAACTCTTCTTCTTCTTCTTCAACAACTTCTCTGTCTGGATTTTCACAGTTTGGCAGCCTAGTCAGAGCACACCCACTGGTGTGAATTAAATTTAGCTGGCAGATCGGTCAAAAAGCTACGGTTCCATAATGCAACAGGTATTGCAATGTGAAAAGCATTAGGAAACAGGACAGAAGCACTAGCATTATATTCAGGACATGAATTCAGCATTCCCTCACATCTGAATGGGCACTTAATATCTCAAGCAATGCTTGAAACGTTTCTGGGTGCAACAGAAACTTCTGGCACCTTCTTCCCGATTACTTTTCAGACCCACCATTCTCTTGTGCTTTTCAAAAAAACAACAACCATGGAATTAGTCTTACAACAAAGGAGGTCACAAATAATAAAAAATACATCAAACAAATGGGTTTGCTCCACCATTTGGATGGATAATCTAACTGAAGTGAGAACATCACCTCTGGAGCCAAGTAATTCAATTCAATGGCACTCTTTTATAATTAAGACATTACTCAGGTTTTCATTTTCCCCTTCCTCTCTCCCCCTATTCCCCACACATAAATTACATTCAAAGACATTTGTCCTCATTTAATCTCTTAGGAAGGTACTCTGGTGCTGTGTGTGCATGCCCAGATTCTAATGAACCGAAGAGGGAGCCCTGAGCATTTAGGTGGCGTAAAAATGTGTCAGTTTACAGAAGCCTGGGGCATTTGGTTCTTTTTGGAATATAAATGCATTTCCTTTTCTTGTTTTGCATTGCTCCTGGCCTGATGTGTTTTCACCCTCTAGGAATACTAATTGAGAAGGCTGGCAGCTGGGATGTGTTGCCATTAGTTCTCTCAATTGGCCATGCACTGGAATAAAATAATCAAATCACAGATTTGGAAGGTGGGGCAGGACTTGTATGCCACTGGGTCCAATTTCCTGCTTGATGCAGGCAGTCCAGAGTAGAGATGTAAAATTTCTGGAAATTTTGAAGCCATGAGGAAAAAAACGTTTCCCACCGGAATTTTTTTTGGAAAAATTGAAAAGAAATTAAGTGTGGAGTAGTTTTACAAATTGTGTGAAACACAGTGTAGATAAAGTATTATGCATGCAATAAAACAGGTAACCACCCCCTTTCCCTCAAAAGGAAGAAACCATCAACATGAAAAATAATCAGATTTGCCCCTTAGCACCAACAGCAAATAAAGTTAAGGTCCACCTCAATATTTAAGCTCCATAAAAGGTCTACAGGTTTTTTCAGGTTTTTCCCCAAAGCCATTTTTTCCAGGAAAAATTGGGGGGGAAATAGTGTGCGGAATATTCAAACTATATCAAACTATTTTTTAAATATTTCCCCCCGGAAAAGGGGGCTTTAGGGGAAAAAATGGGGGGGGGGAACCTGGTCCTTCCCCAATTTTCCCAGGTTTTCCCCAGGCCTTCCCATCTCTAGTCCAGAGTGAGAGCGTCCCCATCAAATGGATGTCCAGTCTGTTTGAATATTACTAGCGTAGAAGAGCCCCTCTCCTTCCCAATCAATAATTGTTTTCATTATTGAACTGCTCCTGCCTTCAAAAAAAATTATCATAATGTTTAACCAAAATTTACCCTGTAACTTAAATCTGAATAACAACCACCACCACCATAATCTACCATATATTTTGGAAAGTTGTTTGTCTCTTTGTCTGTTCTCTAGGCATTTGGACACCTCTTAAGATATTGTAAGCAGTTTTCTTCATGGTAGTTCTTCAGATCAAAGAGCAGGTTTTTGTCTAAGTTCAGATTCACTTGGATGACATTTTGAATCAAGATATGAAATAAAAAACAATCCCATTAATTAAAACAGAAGATTCAGGTTGAGAGTTCAAGGGAAATGTCTTCAAAAGCCAGCAGAATGCCAATATGGATTGGGACCTTCATAAGCATTGGAACAATGGGCTGCATCCAGCTAAGTCCTACCTTGAGCAAAATTCATAAACCAAAGTTAGTAATGTGCATTAACTTCAATGAGTCTACTCCAAGTATACAACCCAATATCTGTCTTAAAGGATACCAAGTCCCCAAAATAACAGACAATTACCTGTTCCATTCACCTCTCCCCCCCTGTTTTTCCTCCTCAAAGGTTGTCCCATACAAAGGCGAGCACAATCTTGATGCTTTTGCTAAATTCTTAGAAGAACAAATTAAGGCAAGAAAGAAGGTAAGGTATACATTTATGTTTAAAGGTGGTTTTAGGATTGTCTTGCACACAATGAATTCATGTACCCATGCCTCAGGAATCCTGTCTTTGTGGATTCACAACGCAAAATTACCTGATCCACACTTCTTGGGCTAATGTGTGGCTCAGAACTTATAGCACAGTCCTAAGCATGTTGGCGCTGTGGGTTAAACCACAGAGCCTAGGACTTGCCGATCAGAAGGTCAGCGGTTCGAATCCCCGCGACAGGGTGAGCTCACATTGCTCGGTCTCTGCTCCTGCCAACCTAGCAGTTCGAAAGCACATCAAAGTGCAAGTAGATAAATAGGTACCGCTCTGGTGGGGAAAGTAAACGGCATTTCCGTGCGCTGCTCTGGTTCACAAGAAGCAGCTTAGTCATGCTGGCCACATGACCCAGAAGCTGTACGCCGGCTCCCTCGGCCAATAAAGCGAGATGAGCACCGCAACCCAGAGTCATCTATGACTGGACCTAATGGTCAGGGGTCCCTTTACCTTTACCTTAAGCATGTCTACTCAGAAGTAAGGCTTCTTGAATCCAGTGGGGCCCATGTCCTTCACAGAAGGCCATGGGCCCACCCCTAAGTTGTAAGTCCAGCTGGCCAGTTTGCTGCTGTTTCTAATGATAACTTGTTATGAAGAGTCTTTGTTTCACAACTTACTTTTTATTTGATTGTTTATCAGGACTCATCCAAAGCCAAGAAAGAAGACCCTGAGAAGGAGAACGAAAGAACTGTGCAAAAGGAAGAGCTGTAGGTTTTCCTTAAAGCACAGATAACATTGATTTTTGAAGGATGGTAGTTGTTTACAAGAATCTTGACCTGATCATGGGGATTTGAGAAGGTATTCAAAATAAAGACGAGAGAAAGAAGTGCACTGGTTTGATTGTGTGTGTTTTGGCTCAGTGATGATCATTCTCAGCAGGAGTGGAGATTGGCCCATGATGGAGAATGGAGAACTGGCTTATCCACCTCTGTCTTTTCTGAGCCAGCCCCCACCTGCCTCTCTTCTTAATGCCAACCAATCAGGACATGACTCTGCCTGTCATTGCAATTAATCCAGAATGCGGCAGCTAGACTGGTGACTGGGAGAGGCCGCCAAGACTAAATAACACCGGTCCTGAAAGACCTACATTGGCTCCCAATACATTTCTGAGCACAATTCAAAGTGTCGGTGCAGACCTGTAAAGCCCTAAACGGCCTCAACCCAGTATACCTGAAAGAGCATCTCCACCTCCATCGTTCAGCCCAGAAACTGAGGTCTAGCTCCGAGGGCCTTCTGGCGGTTCCCTCACTGCGAGAAGTGAGGTTGCAGGGAACCAGGCAGAGGGCCTTCTTGGTAGTGGTGCCTGGCCGGTGGAACACCCTCCCATCAGGAAATAAACAACTATCTTACTTTTAAAAGACATCTGAAGGTGGCCCTGTTTAGGGAAGTTTTTAATGTTTAATGCTGTGTTGTGTTTTTAATATTCGGTTGGGAGCCGCCCAGAGTGGCTGGAGAAACCCAGCCAGATGGGCGGGGTATAAATAATAAATTATTATTATTATTATTATTATTGGCTCTGGTTCCACACACTGCTGATCTCCCCGCCTTTTGCCCCACTGGTCCCAATGAACCTCAGCTGCCACTGGAATAGCTTTTGAGTCTCTTTAACTCAGCTTCCTTGTTGCTAACCAAAGCAGACCCAGGAAAGTGTCCCGTCCCGTAGAAAGAGGTCTGCAGGCTGCTCTGATGAAGCTTTTCTGTCGGCACAGCTCATATGCCCAGTTTGCACTTCATATTAACTCAAGCATTTGCAGTTTTAATTCTTGCATTTTGGGAATTGCAGCTGTGTGAGGGGAATAGGGGTTTCCTAACAGCTTTCAGCACCCTTAACAAACTATAAGCTTTCCAAGATTCTTTGGGGGAAGCTGTGGGTGTTTAAAGCTGCATCACAGTGGTGTGGATGTGACTTTTGCCATTTGAACCTGGCTCCAGGTGACCCTGGAATTTTTGGGAAAAGGTTAGAGCCCATAAGCCCAAAGCCTGCCCTTCTCCTACACTACAGTGCACTGAATTATAGCCATTTCGTTTATTCAGCTCCTGCATAGATAACCAGCAAGTCGGGCTGCCAGTGAGTTGAATAGATTGAACTGAAGATGAAATGGCAAGATGCAGAAGCTGAATTAAAGATGCATGTTTTTCTAGGAACTTTGAATATGTAAGATGCCTTACATCCTCCCTTGTGTAACCACAGATGGCAAGAAATTTGATCCAGTTTTAATTTAAAGGCAAACCTACCAAATCCACATATTTTTAAAAAGGGACAAACCAAAACACCATCCTCTTCTCAAAATTGCTTTTTTCTTAATTTTAAAACACAGTTCTCCAGCCAAGTAATGTGCACAAAGAATGCATATACTAGAGTGAAGTGCGCACAAAAGCACATATAATACTAAAAATAGCATACCAAAATGCATTATATTAGAGGAAGTTGCTTTGCAAAAATGTGAACTGTATGTACATTGGGAAAACAGGCACACACAAAATGTGTGTGTTGGGAGAAATGGCCACTGAAAATATATTCCTTTTCCTTCCCCACAGTGTGAGGGGGGTGCAGGAATGCTCAGACTAGCTGCCACCCCATGCTTGGCAGCTATGACATCTTCTGTCCACATATCAATGCTTGGTCCAGGATTTCCCTTTGCATGGAGCCCCATCTCAAGCACACCGAATGCATGCTCAGCCTGGATGTGACTGCCAAGAGCATTGGTAGTGACAACTGGAACAGCCAGACAATGTAGCATAGTGGTTGGACTGCAGGGGTCAGCAAACTTCTTCAGCAGGGGGCCGGTCCACTGTCCCTCAGACCTTGTGAAGGGCCAGACTATATTTTTTTTTGGGGGGGGGAATAATTAAAAAATGAACGAACTCCTATGCCCCACAAATAACCCAGAGATGCATTTTAAATAAAAGCACACATTCTACTCATGTAAAAACACCAGGCAGGCCCCACAAATAACCCAGAGATGCATTTTAAATAAAAGCACACATTCTACTCATGTAAAAACACTAGGCAGGCCCCACAAATAACCCAGAGATGCATTTTTAATAAAAGCACACATTCTACTCATGTAAAAGCATGCTGATTCCTGGACCGTCTGCGGGCCGTATTTAGAAGGCGATTGGGCCAGATCCAGCCCCCAGGCCTTAGTTTGCCTACCCATGGGTTAGTCTGGCAGTGGTTCTCAACCTTGGGTCCCCTGATGTTTTTGGCCTACAACTCCCATGATCCCTAGCTCACAGGGCCAGTGGTCAGGGATGATGGGAGTTGTAGGCCAAAAACATCTGGGGACCCAAGGTTGAGAAAGGCTGGTAGAGGGTCGGACTGGGACCTGTGAGATGAGGGTTCAAATCCCCAATTGGTCATGAAGGCTCATTGGATGACCTTGGTTCAGTCGCTGCCTCTCAGCCCAACCTACCGAACAGGGTTATTGTTGAGGTTAAATGAGGGGGGTGAACCATATATACCACCTTGATCTCCTTGGAGAAAAAGGTGGGTAATCAAGGCATTAAATAAATAAAAACTCCATTCCCTTCCTTAACACACAGGGACTATTTTTGTGAAAATTCCTATACATAGTAGCAAATGGGTGTTTGTTTCAATATGATTTGATAATGATCAGGATGATAATGTTCTTAAACAGCCTTCTGAAACAGGGCGAACCAGCAATAAGAAAAGCTAATGCTATTCTAGGCTGCATCAACAGAAGTCTAGCGTCCAGATCAAGGGAACTCATAGTTCCACTGTATTTTGCCTTGGTCAGAGCCCACCTGGAGTCCTGTGTCCCGTTCTGGGCACCACCATTTTAAGAAGGATATTGACAAGCTGGAACGTGTGCAGAGGAGGGTGACCAAGATGATCAAGGGTCTGGAAACTAAGCCTTATGAGGGAGTTGGGCATGTTTAGTCTGGTAAAGAGGAGACTGAGAAGAAAGCAATGGCCATCTTCAAAAAGGGTTAGCTAAAGGGTTGTCACATGGAAGATTGAGCAAGCTTGTTGTCTCCTGCTCTGGAGGGTAGGACCCAAACCAATGAAGATTCCAGCTAAACATCATGAATAGCTTTCTGACAGCAAGAGCTGTTTGATAGTGGAACAGACTCCTTCGGAAAGTGGTGGGCTCTCCTTCCTTGGAGGTTTTAAAGCAGAGGTTAGATGGCCATCTGTGATGGATGCTTTAGTTGAGATCCCTGCATTAGTTGAGATGACCCTCAGGCTCCCTTCTATGCTGTTATGAAAGTTGAGCAGGTTGGGTGGGTGGAGTTTGGGGCAATGTATGTGCATGAGGTTTCAATGGGGGGGTCAGAGATCAGGAGCCGTGGTGGCTGGTACACATTGGGACTGGTGGGTGGAAAGCAGGGAGACCAAGAGTGGATGGAGCCAGAGCCAAGGACAGAGAGAGCCACCTCCTGATTGGTTGTAAGAAAGAAGGCAGGCAGGTAAGGGCTGGCTGAGGGCAACAGAGGTTGGCAGTGCTTCACTCACCTTAATGGAGCTGCATTTGCTGATGAGAAGTAGTCCTTGAAAGAAGCAAACAGTCTCCAGGTGAAGTGATGTAAGATCTTGAGTGGCTAAACTCCAATTACTTGACACGTCTTAATGTACAGTCAAGCCTTTCTTTGTTTAATTGAGGCTACTGAATCAATCAATTCTTTGAAAGCTCTTCAGTATCCCAAGGCAGCTTTGAGATTGCTTTGTTCCAAAGACCAATATTTACTTCAATGAGTTAGCCAAGTCCAGGCATGGTCCATGCAAAAGAGAAGCAAGCTAACTATTCCACTCCCTATTCTTTTTTAAATATTGCATCATTGTTTGCAAGCTGGCATTGCTGAATCCCACTGGCTTCTGTGCTGAAGGTAACCACAAGGTTGTTTGGGGCAAAAGGTTGAGTTGCGCTCTTGGGTGGCAGAGAAAGGTAAATATGTGAAACGCCAAACATTTATTTTATATTTATTTTATTTTATTTTTTGAAAAATGAGCTTGGTGCTTCTTTTTGCTCTCTTCTTCAAACGGTGTCTGTGACCCTTATTATTTATTGTAAAATAATCATAGGGAAATGTCAAACAACAGGGCAAAATTGCAAGGCGGATCACTCGTTCCAATTGGGATCAGAAAATGTGAAAAGCCTGTGTCCTGCCAAGGTTAAAAACGAGCAAATCAAGCTAATTCCAGTCTGTGCTTCTTTTTATTTCTATTTCTATTATCTCTATATATACAGGCAACTCCCCACTTACACAGAGGTTATGCCTCATATGCATAAGTGAAAATTGCATAAGTGAGGAATACCTTCTAAACCCCCTCTAAATGTCCTCCCAGCCACTCTCTCTCCAAAACACTACTCTCCAAAAATAAAATAAAAATACTGTACCCCAAATATCCAGAACTGGAATTGTAGCTATGGGGCTGGCAGGAGGCCAGAGAGTACGCAGGAACATGGCTGTTGCTGCTGCTTCAGTTGTTTGGCGGTGTCAGGGGACTGCCATCGGAATAGGGGAGGGAGGCAGGGGGGCTGTTGGGATACAGAGAGCCTGCGAAGCTCCTGAGGAGCAGTTCCTCTTCCATTGGTGGGAAAAGCCACACCTCCAGTGGAGAAAGTGTTGTTAGCTTCTGTTTAGAGTAGAGAGTACTCTGTTTAGAGTAGAGTAGCGTGTCCTTCAGCTCTCTATATTGGACAAACAGGCCAAACCTTACACCAAAGAATAAACGGACATAAATCTGACATCAAGAATCACAAGACAGAGAAACCAGTAGGAGAACACTTCAATCTCCCAGGACATTCCATACAAGATCTCAAAGTAGTTGTTTTACTACA